CGTTTGAAAGCATGCACACACAATGAGTCACACAGCAAACATGGATTTTTCTTCCCTGTGACCCCATCTAATAACTGTATCACCTTAATAACATAATTAAATCAATATACAAAGCATATATACATACACATATATATACAGAGAGCATATTGAACCATCTCCAATCCAGTGTTGTACTCAGTGTGTGTATCCTTCCATCCATTAGATCAACCCTCGACTTGACGGCTGTATTCGGGGCTGGAACTTGATGAACCAGGGAGCATCTGGGGTAAAGGAGGTCATCCAGGAGAAGAAGAGTAAACATTGCTTCGTGTATGTGGAACAAGGCTCTTTCTTCTCAGGGGCAGGACTGGCACTCTTCAACATTGACTACAGTGAGTAAGTTAAGTTATACTTTATTAATCTCCGTGGGAAATTTGGCCTCTGCATTGACCGATCCTAAATATTTCGGAGCATTGAACCTTGGGAGGAAAGTGAAGCACCAACAAAGGGACACGTGAACAAACACGTGTACAAAGGGAGCATAAAATTACACACAGAAAGGCTCCAGTTGGTCCTGCTGGGTGTTGGAACAAAGACCTCTTCCATGTAGTAATATAGACTAGCACAGGTACAGATTAGACATATATGGTTTGTTCCACTGTAGCTGTTACACCTGTGTATGTTCCACATAATCCATGTCACGACAGAATTTGGGCTCAGGATTTTAGAGACAGAGACTTTCTTTAGAATTGGGAGTTGAGTAAACCTAGAAATAAAAAAATTATTTACGTTTCCCTGTGTGTCACTAGGTGATTCTGGGAGCTGGAATTTGGATATAAAGCTGAATATACGTCCGTCCAGCAGCACAGGGGTCATCTTTGCTCTTGTCTACAACAACACCGTCCCCCTGTCAGTCGCTGTGGTAACGCAGGGAGAAGAAGATGCTGTGAGTTCATTCGCGCTTTTATTGGAAATGAGAACACGTCTTTACACATATAGAGGCACAAATCCACGTGATTAAACTTTGTGATATTAATGCCCTCTGTTCTCTAGAACCTGCAAGTGTTGATGGACGGCATCCCTGTGGCAACGGTGGACTCGCTGATGTTGTGTTACCCCGACCGGCTGACGGTGCAGCTCAGTGTGACTCCCACAGAAATCCAGATCTCAGCCAACTCCTCCACAGTTACCTACATGAAGTCTGACGCCCTGCGGGAGGCACTGGAGCACCTCAACACCACCATGCAGTACCCCATTAGTACATATATTGGTGGGATACCCGGTTAGTCAAAGTAGAATATTAAAAGCAAAACAAAAGCACAAAAGTAACTCTTTAAAAACTAACAAATTTAGCATAATTTATTAGCTATATTTGATCACCATGAAAGGGCTAATCCTTTCCATATCAACCACTCCCCATCTTTTTATAAGAAAGCTTTCTCAAGAGATTTGCTTATGCTGGAAAAGAAGTTTTAAGCAAACTTAATGGAATATCCTCTCAAGTGTGCTTTGAGCTAATTTCAACATGCTGTCGTACTTACAGTGAAAATGGTAACATACTGATATTTAGCAGGTATAACATTTTCCAGTGTCCCATCTTAATTGTGCATGCTAGTATTTGCTAATTTGCACTAAACACAAAAGTACAACTGCAGGGGACAGTCATTAATTTTTGCAGAATTTTGGTCCAAGCAACAAAATATTGGACAGTTTAAATCTTTCACCAATAATGGTGCTAGAAGAGTTAAGGAATCACAAAACTGATTACAATTCATCCTGGGGGGAGGGGCATTAATGTCTGAACCAAATCTCACAGCAATCCATTGCAATAGTTGCACTAAAAAAACACACTTTAACCTCATGGTGGAGCTAGAGGAAAGCCAGCAGATCACCAAAATCCTTTCTGAATGTCTGCACAAAACTTCACGGCAGTCTACCCAATAGTTGTTGACCAAACTTCTACCTGTTAATGTTTTTATGTTTTTTTGTTGTTTATGTTTTATTGTGGTATTAAAAAGGTCGATGTTGACCACCATCTCTCATTATTCTCACGGACTGTCCTGTTTCTCTTTCAGACGACGTCCCGTTACCCGCCAACCCTGTGACGGCCTTTTACCACGGCTGCATGGACATCACTATCAACGGCCAGCAGCTGGACTTTGACGAGGCTCTCAGCAAACATAACAGTATTAAGTCCCATTCCTGTCCTCCCGTGTCTGCCCCTGAGAGTCCCCCCGATGTGGCGCACCCGCACAGAGACTGACCCTAATTAACGAGCGCATCACATTAAAAAAGCCCTCGCATTAGTCTGAATCCCACAGTGGGCCCTTCTTGGGATATTTTGGAACGAGAGATATAGAAGAGGAGGTGAAGAAGGAAGAGGAGATAGAGGTAGACGGTTATAGTCATTTTTGTCGACTCTCTCTGATGGGTTTAATTTTAAGCTTTGTCATATGCTTTTCATTCATACAGTATTATTGTTCCTGCCCTTGGAGCATTTTTTCAAATTTTTATTTTTTTTTTAGCGAGGCAAAACGAAAGCTGGCTTGCCAGTGAGCTAGTCAGAAGCTGGATAGTTTGATGACGTAGTTGTAGCAGTTTGTTGCAATGAATTAAATGCTTTCCAAGAAATGTTGGAAAAGAGCTGAGCTCTGTAGCACGCAAACCATGTTTGGAGCAAGAGATGGCAATGTTTGTGTAGAAAAATAAACAAATGGTCAATGTTGGCCAGGCTTTAAGACCACCTGCATCTTTGTCCCTGTTGTTGAATCATGGTACTATCTCTTAAATTCTCTTCTGGTCTCGTGGACGTCTGAGACAAGTAGCTGAAATTGTGGTTGTTGGTTGTTGGCAGAGAAAAGCACAATAGAGAAAGCGGAGCCTCCAGGTTATCGATCCAATTCTTTAGCTTTTTTCTTGTTCGAATCACCATCCTTTACCGGAGCTCTGAGGTGTTTAGTAACGTTTAGAAACATGGTTTATCATTTTATTTGTATTGCAAAACTGCAACTTGTGTTGCTCCTCTGTTTCTGTCCTCGTCTTCAGCGTTCTCCTGTGTCCAAAATTAACTTTGTATATAAAACAAGCCATCGTTAATATATAACTTAAATGTAGTTGTTCAGTGTTTTGTTTGTTTATGTTTGTTTTAATAAAATTGGTCAAAGCAACCTTATCTGATAATCATCTTTCCATTGCCGGACACAAGACCACACAGGAAACTTCATGTTGTCCAAAATGAATTTATGGTCGTCTGTGAACTGATATCCTAAATCTTTCACCATCTCGGTGCAGTTTGTCCTAAGTCCTTGGTGACACAACACACTCGTAAAGCAGTAATTTACAAAACACTGTTTGACCCAGGTGTGTTTTCCTTTAATATCACGTGATTTCTCCTTTATTTAGAGGTTTCCGTAGCGACTGATGGAAACACTGAACCACCGTTCTCCATTCTGTCACCATCAGTCCACTCTAAACTAGTCAAAATCAAATTTTCAATAAATTCTAGCTTATACTACATGTAATATATTGGTACAAATTTGTATTGTTAGCATCAATACACGCTGAAATACTAAATAGATTTGTTTGTAATACCCCTCAATTTAGTGAATAATCAGCCAGTCAGTCAATAAATAGATAAATTTTAGACTTCGGGTTCTTATTTAAAAAGACAACATCAATACTGTTTACTGTTTCCATTTAGAGTAACTTTAACAATAAAGCTGCTCCCTTTCAGGCGCATAACAATATCAATTATTGAGCACTATCAAGTGCAATTTTATTGTAACCCACTGTATAATAAAACAAAATATGTGACACACTTCAGCCTAATGGCCTAGATACAGAAATGGGAAGACAGAGAAATTAAAGTGAAGCACAAAGAGCAAAGTGCACTGATGTGGGCTGAACTGTAAAGAAATGAGACAATGAAAACTGGAAAGGATACTTAAAAATAGATTTTCGGTTAAACAATATTCAGGGGAAACAAAACTGAAAGAAAACACTATTTGGAAAAAGAAGGTATCTGTCTAAAATAAACTGCTCTGGAAGGTTTTTCTAAAGCTGTGTGAGGACTGCTCTGATTCCTCCACTAAAGCTGAGGAAGAAGCTCAAAGAACTACTTCACTGTTTTAGATTGATTTACTGTACAAAACATACCAACAGCTCATAAAATATGATACAGTGCTGTAAACTAAAGCACCCAGCAGGATAAAGAAGTCAAAACTGACTCTCACTTGAACATTAAAATGCTCCTTACATGCTGATGAATCGGTATATAACACTGGCAGGGGCCATTCTGCTGCATAAGTACTTTTACTTTAGATACTTAAAGTCCATTTTGTTGACAATATCTCTGTGTTTTTACTTATGTATGCTTTGAAATGCAAGACTTTTACTTGCAGTGGTATTTTTGTATTATTAAGCAAAGGATCTGAATATTTCTTCTCGGAAAATGTTGAAAATACCCAAATAAAGTACTTAAGTAACAGTACTTGTGTAAAAGTACTTCAGGAAGTTACTTTTCACCGCTGCACTCTGGTAGTGGAAGAGTATTCAGATCGTTTACTTAAGTAAATCAATCAATACTACACACTTCCCAACTAACTCAAGAGAGTTTTTAAATACATTTATCAGAAAAATACACATTCAGAATTTCCAAATTTGGAAATATGTGAGTTTTCTAAAAAGTTACTAGTAACTAAAGCTGTCAGACAAATGAGTAAAAGGTGGAATAAAAAGTACAATATGTAAAGCTGAAGTATAAATGAGTTTAAAATGTAAATACTCAAGTATTTTTATTTAATATTTGAGTACAGTACTTGAGCAATGCAGCTCTGATGATGATTCAAGCATCACGAACCAGTAAGATTTATTTATTTATTTATTTTCCAACTTCAGCAGTGTGATAATGGGTGCACACACACACACAGAGAGAGAGAGAGAGAGAGAGAGAGAGAGTGTGTGTGAGAGTGTGAAGGAGGGGAGGGGAGGGATGAGGAGGGAGAGGTGTCTGCATCGTTACAAACTCCTGCCTGCACTTTTCAGAGCTACTCCCCCTCCTGAAGCAGCACAGACGTGCAGTCTTTCTCCGCAGAGTGGGGACTCAAAAGAGAGCTCAACACAGGACAGAAAGGGGTAAAAAAAAAATACAAATAAAGTACAGACCGCAATGGGGACGAGCTGAACCGCAGAGAGAGAAAAAGAGGACGGTGGCTTAAATTTGTGTTGTGAACGATATGCGGGAGAAGCACACGACCGTTTAGCTCGCAACGGTCCGCGGCGGTGATTTTAACATAAAAAACAACCGTTAACGACCAACGGTCGGAAGTACCTGAATACCTGCAGTGTGTTTCGCAGTGACGTTAGCCTCGGCTCGGTGCGAACAGCACTGACATTGAGAGACACAGAAGGGGGACAGAAACCACTGCAAGACGGGACGGGAGAAAGTTTCTCAAGCTTGGCGCACACACAGCGGTTTAAACAATGCGGCTGACCCCGACAAAGTCCCTTTCATCGGCAGCCCTGCTAATGCTGCTGGTCGTCCGCTGGTCCGACAGCAGTAAGTAAACAGTTACATGCTAGGTGGCTAGCTAGCTCGCTAAGTCCCCTTTGACATTTGTGTTGTGGCTGATGATGATGCATGCCTCAGTTATTAACGTCATTAAAGGTGCTTTAACTGTAGATGTTGCGCAACCTTGCTAAAGTGTTTTCGTTTTTGGGAGCCAAAATATTGCCTAACTCCACGTTTAGTTTGACCTTTCTCTTTCTTGTTCTTGTGGGTTATTCAGTGTATTTTTTTAAGGATGCCTTTCCTTTCCTTTCCTTTCCTTTTTTTTTTTTTTTTTAGTTTCACTGTCTCCCCAAGAGGCGAACCAGTTTCTGAGCAGACACAGGAGAGCGAATCAAGTTTTCGAGGAGACGAAGCAAGGACACTTGGAGAGGGAGTGTGTGGAGGAAAAGTGCACCAAAGAGGAGGCCAGAGAAGTGTTTGAAAACGACCCGGAGACGGTGAGTATGTTATATATGAAGGGACTAAACCACCACTAAAAAGTTGTGGTTTTAAGTCAAGGTTGCATGCAGGTTTCCCTCTCCCAAAAACACAACCACAACACCACACCTTCTTCTGGCTTCTACTCCATTGAGGTACTGCAGTAGTAAAACTCAGTGAAGGCTGGTAACTCATCAAAACACTACTAAGAAGTGGAAATCATATTGTTTTATGGGCCCAGATAGTTTTTTCCACCCGGCATTTGTCAGAAAACATAAATCTTCAAGGTCGGATGTTTACATCATGTTCATATTGACTAAAATCATCGATGACGGTAATGTTACAATAGACTAATGATTCATTGTCTGAGGCTGCTGGTGTTCATGCTCCAGTAAGTCCTCAGTGCTGATAGCTGTCAGTGTACACAATATTCCCATGTCACTTCATGTTGTCACATGTTTTAATCTCCTTTTGTTTGTTTCTGTGACAGACATTGAGTCAGCGTGACTAAGCTTTAGTTTATGAAATACACTTTCAGTAAAGACACTGCTATCCCTACAACCCCCCCTCCATATTTATATGCACACACAAACGCACGCAGTCACTCATGTGTCTTCTTTTTTGGCTTATATATATTCCATTTACTGAAATTTGGCCCTATCTAATGGAGATCTTAGGTCCCAGCCAAATATGGGTTACACCTGGATATCTCTATCTCTCCTCTCACCATCGGTATCATCTACACAGGCCGACTTTTACACTTCCCGTACACAAAAATGCACGTGAACGATGCAAACAAACTCCTCAGATTCTGATTGGCCTCTTTGGGAGCTGTTTAAGTGTTTCATTACAGAACGAACATGGGGTGAGAAATGTGTTTTTATTCAACACAGTAGCACTCTAATCTCTTTGCTCCCACCCTCTTTTTTTTATTATTTGATGATTACCAACAAACAAAATCCATCACACTGTGTGCTCAGGAATATTTACTGCAGATTAGTTTCCATTCACGAATGTGCAGATTAGCCTTTGCCATCCATGTGAATTTGTAAGCTCATTGAATATGTACTATATGTGCTGAATATGCAAACAAGCTCCAGAGGTATATATAACCCAATGTGTCCGAAAACCTGGAACATGGGCGAGTGGGAGTGTATTCATTCATTGGCTGAGAATGCAGACTTTAAGTCTTTTAACAGACATCTGTGCCTGGTTTGTTGCATGTGTCAGTGTGTGTGAGTGGTACTCAGTGAGATGAGTTATAGTGTGGGCTGCAGTGCAGACTCCTGCCCAAATGCCTTTTTAAAAAAATGTTTGCTGTCAAGAAATATCAGCAGCAATATATCTTGAAATTGCTGAATCTTTGCATATTTTCAGTTTGGCTGCTTGATTTGTAAGTCTGAGATTTCACGTCGAGGGAGCGTTTGTTAGCGTCGCGCTGTTGATGTGCTACGCTCTTGAACTGTCACTCTTACTCTTGAAGTTTTGCCCTTTGTGAATTGTGGAGGAGAGGGAGTGAATGAGGCAATCAATGACTCAGAGATTACGTGTAAGATTAGCCAAGAGGAGAGACATGGAAGCTGAGGCAGGACTGAGGGAAGGAGGATTAAAGCGAAGTTGAGCTGGGTTCAGACAGAAAGGTGAAGTCAGGTGACGCTCCTTCGTGTTGAGTTGGAATCAGCTGGACGCACATCCCCTTCAAAATAGCGCTTGCGTGCCTGTAGTTTTCTGCCATGTCGTGCTACAAAGCTGCAGTCTCATTCATAACTGCATTATTCATTCTGAAAGTGCCGGTCTCTGACTCTGCATTTTCTTCTGCTGCAGCTTTCTGGCTCTGCAGAGAAAGGGAGAGTTGGGTGTTCCTAGATACTTGTGATCATCCTCTGAAACTTTCTGGTCACTCACTTGTTAAGCCTTTCAGAGGGGGGACAGAAAGACGATAAAAAGGTGTCACATCTGACTTTTACGTTAGGGTCAAGTTTATAAATATCCCCAGACTAGTTCTGGGACCACACAACATCTGAACTAAATGTGACTGACCTTTGCAAATCGGATCCATTCAGGGGTATAATCAGGCTTTATTCTGTGTAATATGTTCCTAGCTTTAGCAAATTTCTGTCTGATTGCTGATTCATACAAGAAACTTTTTTTCACTTCATCCTGCTGCATCTGGCTCCTACTGCAGCAGATTCTCTTTAAAATCTATGTGCCTTCAAAGCCAGTCTTTCCATTGGTAGATCTTCCCAAATTTTGACCTAAATGTGGAGGAGTACTGCAGCCAGGAGGTGGGAGGGATGCTACTATTATCAGGAATGCAGAGAATTCTCAGGAAGCCTTTGGCAAAGGGCCACACCCATTAGAGAGAGCACACACAGATTACAGAGTAATCATTTTATTATCTCTGACTGAATACTGCACACACACGCACAGACAAATGTCATAGTCAAAATTAATTATTGATTATGAGATGCTTTCCAATCCCACGAGTACACAGCACAAGTATCGGGTATGAAACGAAACCAAATCCTAGATTATGTCAACTATTAACAGGACCCCCCCCCCCCCCCACAAAGCGTAAGCTTTTATTTATGTTGTCTTGTTCTGTTTAGATTTTTGTTTACACGTATGTGTAACTTTATCCCTCTTTCTTTCCATCTGTCCTCGCTGATTTAGGACTACTTCTATCCCAAATATTTAGGTAAGTTATCATTCTCAGTCTTCATCTCTACTTATAACCGCCAGTTTGACTGATTATATGTTTGTAATCTCATTTTTCTTCCCTCTAGCCTGCATGGAGAAGTTTGGAGATGCTGAAAAGAAGAAACAGGATCTGGTTACGTGTGTCCACAGTAAGTTTTATGCCCTCTTATCTGTCTACTGACTTACTTTAAGAGCTTAATGCATAACTGTGGGCAGGTTGATGGATACCGAACCACACCTTTTTCACAAACCCATCTTTTTCCCACTCTCTCTTTCTGACTTTCTTTTCACTGTGTAAGAGTAGTTGTAGTCTGGGGTTGGGCTGCACTGCAGTATCACTGCTCTGCATCATACTCAGGCACACACTGTTACTACACACTACTCTCTAAGTAGCAAACAGAAAAGAAGACAAGATAATGAAAAGGTGCTGAATATCTTTGGCACCTCCAGGTCAGGTTTTGCAGCGTCACAAACAAGACTGACTCTGACTTTGAGTGCCCTATATGTGGGTGAGCACAGGTATCTATGAGTAACATTGCAGCACTTTGCTACAGTGATGCTGCACATTGGTGAATGAGCGACACACCCCTACAGACGTCACATACTCGCTCTCTCTGGCCGACTGCACCAGCTTCTTCGTGAGCTGGCTAAGCGGAGGAGTGACGTGAAAGAAAAATCTGACGCGAGTGGAGCACAGGATTTCTGCTGCATCAGGATACAGGGAACCAACCCGGCTTCGCTGCTATTGGCTGAGGAATCTCGAGGGGGGGTTTCCATGACTCAGTTGCAGCATCGTGGCACGGCAGCTTTTTTTCTCCTTCCTTTTTATCTATCTGTCAGCACACCAGCTATCTCTCTCACCACTTCCCTCTCCCACTGCAAATCTCTGCCCATCTGTCTCCATGCAGAATAGTGTAGTATGCCAGTATCAAAGCAGATTGTGACATTCCACTAATTCCATTTATGAAAGTTTATAGACATGCAATGCTACAAACATGATATGGAAAGATATAGTTTGGTGCTGAGTTAGCTTCATATTTGCACATACAGTATTTATTCTCCCACTCTTGTCTGTTTCTGTTCCCTTACTCTGCAGTTTATAGATGTTTTGTTAAATGCTCTGCAGAAAAATCATTTCAGTCATTAAAAACACATTTTCACATGCTGTAGCATACACTGTACTAACCCATAATTGTGGTGTCCCCACAGTGTGTGCTTTATTAAATGAAAATTAAATGTTGACACGCTGTTAAGGGGCCTCTAAAATGTTAAGCAGAGGAAACATGAGAGGCTCCTGCAGTTACCCCTGCTTGCTCATAGATCCCAACATGTTACTAAGCTGGGGCTTTGGTCAATTTGCTCTGATTCATTTAAGGACTGCGTTTTAGAAGTAGGCATGTAGTATTTATAAATAAATATATACTGATACTGCTATTTTTATGGTGCTTAACTTCCACCATTGGCGCAGACTTGTTAATAATGTGATTCTTGGTGCTGATAGCTTACCTGATTTTTCCAAAAAAACTATTTTTACTTGTCTGTAACACAGGCTGCAAATGCTTTAATCACTGAAAGAGAGGAGCACAAGTTACTTCAACTCTAATGAAGTAATGCAATTTACTTTGTCAAGCTTTTATAAAATAATAAAATATCAAAGCTAGAAAATCACAGATTATTAATGGCCTATTAGCTAAAATAAATAATGCATAAATGTGATCATCAAAATGAATCATCCATATATCAATGTGCTACTACAGGCATATTTATGATATTGCTTCTAATATTAATGATACTTTAAAGGTAATTATTGTCCCTGTAGATGAAGCTGACTAATTGTGTATTTTTGAGAATACTTAACCTGCAATGCACCTTCTTAGTATTGTAGCTAACATTGTTAGTTATTTGTTTTAAGACTACAGGTAACATTTTGTAAGATTCTGTTCATAAATTCAATCAAAAGCTGGAATCATCACGTTGCTGGAAGCCCTTCACTTGTACTATGTTTGACTGATTGTGCAGCTGACTGTCTCTAAAACTAAAGCTTCTAACAGCTGCAGCATGTAGTTGATACTGATTAGATTTTTCCACTATATGTAGAACCTAACTGTAGTTTAGATTTACTGTCATGGTGGTTTGCTGTCAAATCTCTGAAAGATTATACGTGAAATGTTGAATTTCAATCACTTAAAACTCTGGATGTTTCAGTAAGGAAATTAAGATCTTTATATTTACAGTTTTGTACACCATTCTGTTAAAAATGTCCTGCATGGTAAGTTGTTGCTTTTGTTTTTCACATGTAAGCTTATCTCTTTCCTGGTTCCCTCATTTTATCCAGACACTTTCCTTTTCTCTCTAACTGCTCGACAAGTCTGGGCATGTTAGCTGGAGTTCAGACTCCACTGCTGGGAAAAGGAAACTGCGTGGAGAGAGAAAAGAGTTGCTCGCTTACACAAGTTTGGATTGAAAGAGGGCTCAAGTAAAATTATCTCATAGAAAAATAGGACAAACAAAAATGAACAGACAGTTGAATTTCCATTTGATCTTGTTTTTTGTGAGCTAGAAGACAGGTATGCTTGGAAGGATGGAATTAGGGCATCTCTGGCAGGAGAGCTTAGCCAGCATTAGGCTATTTATATATAACTCCTGATATGCAGAACATAAGAGATGCCCTTCCTCTGTCTGGTATCAGTGTACAGTTACAATCAGTGTGTGCATCCGGTCTATATAGACTCAGTTTTAAAGCATTAATCTCTCTCTCTGTCTGTCTTTGTTTTCTCACGTTTGAAGATATTCCAGACCAGTGCTCTCCGTCTCCCTGTAACGCCAGAGGTACAGTCCGCTGCGAGGACAAAAAGGGCGACTTCCACTGTCACTGTTTCACAGGCTGGACCGGAGCCAGATGTGAGAAAGGTACTGTCATCACTATGGACCGTGAGAGAGGATGTATAGTTGGACACTGTGTGCTGGAGCTCAGCAGAGGTTGAATTTTTTTTGCACTGTCATTCAGTGTGGATCAACGTCATAATCACTGTGACTTTAGTTCTGACAGACAACTCCTGTCCACTGAGACCCAAATATATGACCAATGAAAGAGATCAGAAGGAAGATATTTCTAGTATTTTCATTCTTTCTCAGTATGTTAATGTGAATGCTGTTTTTTTTTTTATTTTGACCTTGCAAAACTCCACTTCTAGTGTTTCACTTGTATCTTACAATTGCAACTGTTACTGTTGACATGCCTATTTGATATCCAACTGTTGTTGTTGTTGCTGCTGCTGCTTCTGCTGTTATTAATGATGTGTGAATGGTGTCAGGTCAATATGAACTGCATATACGGGAATCTATGTGTCTCTTTAGAGGTCAAAGCTAGTTACTGTAATTAGATTTGAGGGGAGGCTTGCATCTCCTCTGAAAAAAAAATTGAAAGTTAGAAGAAGGGTTTCACTTTTATAAGGGAAATGTAACACACATTAAGTGTGTAAGCAGTAACTGGAAAGCACACATAATTTATACATGCACACTGTGAGAGAGAGGGAAACATGTTTCTCTGATTTACAGCACAGCCACCATTCCACACATTTCCACTGTGACTCATCCTGCCACCTTACTGTGAGAGGAAACCAAAACAGATTCAGTTTGACTTGGTCTGAGTCTTTTCCACTTGACGACCGCACTCCTCCTAAACACTCAGTTACAATGACATAGTTTGTCAGTTATTTGTAAGGCGTCTAACAAATGCACAGGATGTTTAAGTGAGCCTTTCGAACTGTATTAGACTTTAGGCTGTGCACCCCTATTCAGAATTTCAAAATGTATTTTTCAAAACCAATTAACGTGAAATACAACCTGATCCTGACTTACTGTGGGAAATCTCAACACCAGCCAAACAGCCCAATGCTGTACACAGCCCATGATGATGTTTTTCCTGCGTTCATGTTGACTGTAACACCATCCTACTTGCAGATGTCAACGAGTGCAGCAGTAATAATGGAGGGTGTAACCAGGAGTGCAACAACACTATGGGTAGTTACCGCTGCTCCTGTCACCAAGGCTACATGTTGGTAGGACGCCACATGTGTAATGGTAAGCCATAAAACCATAGATGGACACATCACAAAAAACACTTTGTTTGACTCGGTCTACATTTGAACAATTTTGATCCACTTCAAACTTGTATGTACTAATACTAACTTGTATAAATGTTTTCAGTTAATTTGCAAGGACTTTACAAGGTTTTCGTGATTGAAGTCCCTATAGTAATTCTTCTCTCTTAAATAATTATCATTCTAAGCACATAAGGAATAAATGGTTTAGTTAATAAACTTAACACTTCAACCTCGTAGACCCTTTGTCAGGTCCAACATTACTCGTGTTGTGCAAACCTGCATAAGTTTATTTAACATTCTAGGTTTCAGCAGATGAGCATAAAATCATGACATCTTAATATTTCCATTAGATTTAATGGTAGCCTCTAAACTGTGTCTTTGGTGTAAATATTTATTTTAATGTAGGTTTGACGCAGTTAGTATGAATTATGTATATAATATAATGTTGACAAACAATTTATTGAATCTACAATCTAAGCTGCTTTAGGGCAAATTTAATATTGGGGTCATTTTGATTCAACTGGTTAACCCATCAGGACCAGAATTTACTAGTATCTGTCTAGTGGCCAATGAGCCTAAGTACAATCAACCTCCTCAGATCATGTCGTTGACTGTATAATCTTCTTGGTATCTGTCCAGCTGAGCACATTTTGTGTCTTTCAGATGTGAATGAGTGTAAGGACCCAGGTGTGTGTGGAACAGCACGCTGTCAGAATAAGGAGGGCAGCTACGATTGCTTGTGTGATATCGGCTACATCTACGACAATGAAACCAAGAGCTGTCTTGGTAAGTGTGTATAGTCACACCATAAGAGAGAACCACACACGACGACACAAACGCAAACAAATTTCATGTGAACTGACGGAGGAGCAGCTTCAGCCTCAGCAGGACTTGATGCAGCTGTGTTGTGGGGGTCAGGAAAGGAATTCTGTATAAGTAGGTTACAGGTCACCTCCTCCTTGCCTTTAGAACAAAAATATTTCAGGGGTTAAAGACACAGGCTGTCTTCTTGATTTCAAATTTGGTGAGGACAGAAATGGTCGATGAGGTGAAGCACAGAAGATGTGCCATAGGTTTACATGTTAAAAGTGTTCATTTCTCATCTTAAGCACACCAAATCATGCATTAAACATGCAATGATTTTAAAAACAACCATCTGTACAATCACAGCAATCACCAATCAAATATTCAAGTAGCCTTTGACTTTTATTTTAATAAATGTAATTAACAGTGCAAGATGTATAGGATAGTATTGTATTCTTGAATTCTGCATGTCAAACATAATTAATCTCAGGTTTTCCCCTAGATTTGTAGCTGACAGCTCAGCATGAACTTTTATACTCAAGGAGTGGTAGGATGTGCAAGGCCAAAAAATGCTTCCTTGGTATTTTTAAAGATAACACAATAATATAAATAATCACAAGCATCAGGTCTGTTGGTAAAAACATTGAATAAGAATTCACAGAGGAACCAAAGTCATTAATCACTTGCGTGCCATGCTTTTCTCTGCAGTGGAAACCAGACTTTTCATAACCTCAGTGTCCCTCCTCTGAGAATGAACGTTTATTATAGCCAACCTTCTCATGGCCATGTAAGGTTGTATATGAAGTCCACGTCAAAGACCACTTGACTCAAGTGTTGTTTTCATTCTTTCATTTGTTGACAGGAAATACATCTTGTGTTTTTTCATGCTTGTGGAACTGATGTTATGTAGATCCTTGAAAGTTTACGTTTTGACTAAATCCTCCACTGATGGGACTCTGGTAACTACTTGAACTCTCTGATTCTCTCTAACTCACGACTGTCATCTCTCCTTCTCTTTTATCTCTGTGACCCTCTCTGTCACTTGTTAGATGTGGATGAGTGTGAGACAGGTGTGTGTGCAGAGGAGTGTTTGAACACTCCTGGGAGTTTCCGTTGCTTCTGTGATGGTCGTCAGGGCATGAAGCTGGGCCAGGACCTCAGGAGCTGTAAGGTGAAATACATGAACCTTTCACCTTTGTTGTTGAATGTGAACTATAAACTTGATTTAAGTAAGTAGAGTTACTCTTAAATCCACTGTTCTCTTAAAGCTTCAGCATGCGTCATCTCCAGCTTGTTCTCTGTCTGTGTTTTCACAGCCTTTAACTCCCTGTATGTCGCCATCCCTGAAGAGGAACTCTCGTTCTCTCTACCTGGGCCGCATGTTCAGCGGCGTGCCAGTGGTGAGGCTGCGTTTCCGTAGGAGGATTCAAACTGGGTGAGCAACTTACGATTTCATTTAGATCTTTTGATGTTCAACACTCAAAACAGTTGTCTCCTATAAAAAGAGACACATCATCTCTACATACATATATATATATATAGTTACAGTAAATATAATATAAAGAATTATTAAATGGATTGGTCACAACTCTTGATTAAGAAGTGAACATAAGGTTTTAGGGGGGGTATTTAAACAACAATATTAAATCTTTTGCCAGACTTGTTTAAGGAAGTGTTAAGTATTACTCTGGCAACAAGCCATCCAAGTGCTGCCTGAGGAATTGCATCGAACTCAAAATGTTGTCTAACATTTTGATCTGTATGCATTAGTGATACGTATAATGAGCTTCTAGTTGACTTTTTACATGGAAAGTCAAATACGTATCTGTAGTGTTTAGTGGCAAAGCATAATTTACAGTAAGCTTTGGGCTTGAATCAAATCCTGTTTTAAATTCTTGTTCATGTTTTTCTTATTAATGTTTGCATTAAAGTGACACAGCAGGCTGAACGACCCCTCAAAGTGTAAATCCAAGCCTGAGAATGAATTCATTTGATGTCTGAAAGGGAAAAGTCTTTTTTTTTACCATACATAGTAGTTGTATCAGCAAATTCTAAAAAAAACAAAACAACTCTATTATTAGCTGGGAAAATGGCACAAACATTGTTTGAATGCCAAGTGGATAGCAGATAAAAAATACATGATTATTTTGGCCACTAAAAGGAATAGTTTCTCCCCCACCATCTCCTCCTGCCCCACTTTTTCTTTCTTTCCCTTTATTTCATATTTATCCTAAATGATCTTTGTCATACTAACTTACTCATTCACTGCTCCCCCTTTTCCCAGCTTTTCGGCAGAGTTTGACTTTCGCACCTACGATCCTGAGGGTGTGATCTTCTTTGCCGGAGGTCACCTAAACAGCTCGTGGATTGTGCTCGCAATGCACCATGGAAAGCTGGAACTGCAGCTGAAGTACGGCACTGTCAGCAGGGTCACCAGCAGTGGACCCATCGTCAATGACGGCCAGTGGAGAAAGGTTTGAGGTTTTTCTGTCATGAACAGTAGTACATTGTCTACTTTAGTTTCATTAGCTGATTGTAAACTCCTTTTAATGTTTTGTTTGCTTCTCAGATCTCAGTGGAGGAGCAGGGGCGGAGTCTAGTCATTAAGATTGACAGGGAGGCCGTCATGAAGATCGCAGTAAACGGTGACCTGTTCACGCTAAAGAAGGGCATGCATGAGCTCAACCTCACTGTGGGAGGAGTCCCTTTCAGAGAGGACGGCCTCGTCAATCAGGTGTTTGTTTGTATGTGCTTGTGTATTTTCTTGAATACATACAAAAAAAGACACATTTCTCAACTGTTGTTATTATGATGTAGGTGAACCCCCGTCTGGATGGCTGTATGAAGGAGTGGAGGTGGTTGACGGGTGAAGATACATCCATACAAGAAACCATTCGGTCCAACGACAACATGCAGTGCTTCAGCACAGTGGATCCTGGAGCATATTACCCCGGCACAGGCTTCGCTCTCTTCAACATCAGCTATGGTGCAGTGTGTGTGTTTGTGTGTGTAATGCATAGCATGGCTGGAGTTTGCATAACTGAGCCTAATTGCTTCTTCCTGAAGTATTTAGTGAATGTTTCATTTGTTTGGGTGAATGTTGGTTGGCTTCCATCATCGCCTACTCTTTTGTCAACAGTTTGCCTCGTTCTTGTTTGTCTGTAAAGTTCATGACCGGCTGTTCACTCACATCCTGCTCTCATCACCTCAGAATCACAGAACCTGAGCGTCCGGTTGACCCTGCGTCCAACGTCTGCAATCGGAGTGCTGTTTGCACTCGTTCACCAGGACAGAGTCCCTCTCGCTATCGCTCTGGCCGACTATCATCCTGACACCGATGAATGGCGAGATGTGAGTACTTTAGAACTCATCCTGTGCATGTTTCTAAAATGTTTGTTTTATCTCAAAACTGACCTTTTCTGTGTTTTCAGTTTGTTCTGGTATCTGTAGGTGATGTCATCATCGCCAGCTCTCCTGCTCCTCTGTGTGATGGTGAGAGTCATGAAATCCAGGTGAAGATCTCAGGCAACCAGACCCTGCTGCTGGTCGATGGCCAGTCTGGACGTAGTGAAGACGTCGAAGTTCCTTTTGACCTCCTGTCACAGTCCAGCACCTTTATAGGAGGCCTCCCTGGTGAGGACAGAAATATTTGATACACATTTGGCAGGATGTTTATCATACAGTACGGTAGGGATTTATTTGCACGGTATGCAGGAGAAGGGTTAGTGGTGATGCTAAGTACTTTGGAGGTAGAGTTATTAATGATTAGTATTTAAAATTCATAACTATTAAAACGGTGGCGGTATCTAAAGCTGCCGGACACCACTCAGGTGGAAATGAAGGACTCATAACACACATTAACACTGAATTGTTATTCACTGGCTTGATGAGAATTGTCATGTATATTTGATAAAAAGTGTTGGTTAATGTGTTTGCTGAGTTTGACAGATTCAACACACTGACTAATACTGTTTGGCCTACTTGTGGTTAGGTCACAGCTAGTGCTGCTACATAGTTATCTGCTGGATCACATGCTGTCATTTCTTCCCCTCAGACGTTCCTCTGGTGTCCACTCTGGTGTCGGCGCACTATAGCGGCTGTATGGAGGTCAGTGTTAACGGACGGCCTGTGGACTTGGACCAGGCCATCCACAAACACAACGACATCCACTCACACTCCTGCCCCCTGCTGGATTCTCACCAGTGACCAGCGCATCAGTCTGCCAAAACTGATCCATACGCAGTTCATTCAGGCAATGGGGATGATTTCCAATATATTTATAAAAGCTTTGACCAGTGGGGAGATGTTTTAGATTGGAATGTAAAAACAAAAGAAAACAACTGGACCAGGTATCGTGGTGCAGCTGGAGCCTTAGCCCAGGATCACCCTGTCCTTTTACTGTGATGACACTGCTGCCTAGAGGCATTTGCAGGGAATTTCACAGTATTCTCAGTAAAATGACTCAGTAAGGTAGTTAGTCAGCCAATGAACAACATCTGTACTAGGCAGAAGATATGGGAATAAATGCTGCACAACATTGCCTCAAAAACTGCCCATGTGTCACCGCCTTGTAAGCCCACAAGAACACACAGGGCCTTATCTAGATCAATGTCAAATGGTTGGTCTTGGGTCAGCCTACTACGCCTGGCATCCTGTGCTTAAATGCAGATCTGACTGGAACTTTGTAGGCAGACTGACTCTTCGCTGCAGCAACTCAGCTGTTAGAGCTTTGGTCATGTTGCTTACATCCAGTTCACCTAAGGCCCACGTTCACAAAGCTTGAAATAATCAAGTGCTAATGTAGAATCAGATGAAATGGGGGGGGGAAATGGGGACCAGATAAATAGTCCTACATCAGCTACCCACTCAGAGAAAATGTGTGAACTTTAATGAGTGTTTGACAATGACTTAGGGGTTGATTGGGGACTAAATTAATCTTTTTTGCCCCTAATTAGCTGAATCTCGTCCTTCACCACAGCAGGGAGGCGTGCTATTAGGCACAACTTTGTGTTCTGTAGAAACCCTTGCACATTGTTGCAGGTAGAAATGAACTGCGTGTGAAGCCATTTTTTTGATTTCCTCTCGACTAAAAGCAGCACTTCATGTCTGCCTGCAACCTTAAAAATCAACCATGTGCCTCCAAAGAACAACCGACCCAAACATCACAACAGCTTCCCTCCAAACAGGTGAATAATTTCACAAAGGTGCAGTACTGTAACACAAAAACAGAGCTAACGCTTCTCCTAATGAAATGTTGTCCTCATTGCAGTTAATACACTATGCATTTCCACCTGTGCATTTTAGAGTATTACAATCTTTTAAAGAACTAACACCCTGATTCTCAATAATCTTCCATCACTGACATTGTCACAAAGGCCCCTTCTTTCCCTCAGAATTACCCACTAACTCTTTAATACCTGCCATATACCAATCTGAGGATGATAGATTAGCCACAGAAGCACAGGGAGACAGGAAGGGGCCCTCTCCATGAAGGAGAGAGAGTGAGCACTGCATCGAACGCACCACACAAGCTACTGAGAGTAAAAAGAGTGCGCTGTAATATACTGAATATGTAAATAACGTGACTGTACAATGCTTTATAAAAGACAGAAAACAAACACTACCTTATGCTCACTGAGGTTTTCTGCACATTTAAATTGATCCAAAGTCAAACTAATCTGAGTCTCTCAATTCTTCTGCTTCCTATAAAAAGGTTTGAGCAACAAATACACAATTATTTTCTTGAAATAGGAAGTGGGAGACTGGGAGAGATGTAGCCAGGGATCCAAGTATCGTAAAAAATCTTTAGGGACTCAGTTTTTAATTTGATTTTATAGGTGCTGAGCAAACACAAGAAAAACAAAGAATGTCAGAGGAGCATTGTGATTGAGAATGCCAAAAGGGCTCCAGTGTTATTTTACTTCCCTCTGTAATGTATCATTTTCTAGTTTTCTGATGAATGAATGCCAGAATATAGAGCTTGACGAGTATTGTTATTTTTATCATGTGTTGTATATTGAACTTGTCTTTAGTTTTTATTTTTCACTTTAACTGCCAGTATGTGTACTATGCTGAGAGAAGTCTGCCTTTTGAGTTTTAACTTCCCTCAATGGTGAAAATCCTATTTAAAAAAAAAACAAAAATAAAAGCAGTTGTATGAACATCAAAGAGTAAAATTGTATTTTCAAAAAACGCATTTGTTTGCTGTGTGGTTATGTTAAAGATAAACGTTTCCTGCTCCATGTGTGACATGTTGTTAATGTTGTAAACTCAAGGTTTATTTAATGTCCCAATAACCCAGCTTTCAACTGTATCTCATGCCCTTCTTCAGCAAAAAGATGCCTTGTTTTGTAGACGTATTTTTGATAGACAAATGCATTGCATTTCCCACAATAAAAGCTGGCCTGTATTTTGCCAGTTGACTGCTTTTAATTTGAACTAGCAGCAGAAGGAAATGTTGAGGTTTGCATTAGCAGTAACTTAATATACAGCTTGCACACGCTGTAAAGGTAAACAGTGATGCTACTATTAATGAGATCATATTTTTGTAAGTAATAATAATGACTTATGTGTATATTATTTGTATTCATAGGCTATTTGAATCCAGGAATGACAGACTCCGCCACTAACAATGCTACTATATAGAGATGCATTACAGAATGTAAAAACCTTGAATTGCTATTGCTGAAAAAAAAAAATGCTGACCCTAATAGTATGAAAACGGTTTGATTTGGTTAATACCTTTTAAGTAAGTGTCTGTAAGTGGTGTTTGATTAAAGATGTGTGCGTGGTTACGTATTCTTCCATATATGATCACCTGTTACCACGTGGCAGAAGTCCCATACTTACAACACAAGATGAGCAAGTTTCATTTGCTGAAAAATGCAGTGAGATTCAATCAAAAGCTCTGATATAAGTTAAGTAAACCTTGAGTTGAGAATATTTTTCCTTTTAAGGAAATATTTCTCATTTTATCGTAAGGGTCAAGAGTGAACCTTCATGCTCAGTTGCTAATATTGTAAAAAAAAGTTTGTTTTACTAAGTTTTATTTACAATTAGGGGATAAAAGTAACTTCTAAAATGTAAAATTTTAACCGTAGCACAAGTGGAGTAGAGTCATAAAGTCAGTGAGCTGCAGTGAGTCAGCAATGTGCATTATACAATACATTACAATTGCCAGCATACACTACTGATCAAAGCCCTGAGTGTATTGAGCTGTGAAAAAGCATTCATTGCTCATGTATTCAACTTTTTATTTGTAAGAGGAAGAATGTGTGATTTCTTCGTTAAAAAGATACACATAGCCTTTGAGGTGAAACAGTACAGTGAAAACAAATAGTTCTGGTACTTTAAAATGTGGAATTTTAAAGGAACATTTCGACACTTTGGCACTTTTGCTTTCTTGCCAAGAGATGAGACGATAAACACTCAGATGTTTACCACCAGAAGTAGCTAACTTAGTACGAAGACTGGAAATAGGGAAACGGCTATCCTGGCTCTCTGTAAAACAATAAATTATAGCTTTTGCATGTAGGTTTGTGTACGGATTAAACAAGTAAGACAAAAGATTAGTGAGCTTCAAAAGTGCTGAGGGGTGGATTTTGTTATACGTTTTGACAGATCCAGGATAGATGTGTCCCCATTTTCAGTCTCTATGCTAAAAGCCAGTCAGGTAGGCTAGTATTTCTGCTGCAGTAGCTTCATATTTATCATACAAACATTAAAGTGGTATCGATCTTCTCAGTTAACTCTCAGCAAGCAAGAAAATAAGCGTATTTCCCAAAATGTTGAACTCTTCCTTTAATGTACGATTATGATGAAGCCCCTACTCCACATGTATTTGTATGCATCAGCATTTCTTATATGTCTTTAATACATAATGTATTTCATAGCAGCTACATAATCCTACCCCACAGCATGCATCATTAATAATTTATACAGTATATTGACTTTAAAGTGCACATTAAATGATTCACACAAACATAATTAAATAACAGCAACATCAGCGTCATTTACTTTCCGGTTCGCATTTCAAGAAAGCCCTTTTTAACTGCTTGAACAGGAGTTAGTATAGTGAGACAATACGCAGGAAGACCTGTAATCCAATCTACACTAAGTTATAACAGGAACCACAATCAGATCACAGTCAAGTGTAGCACTGTATACACGTATTCATATGTAATATGTAAGCATCTGAAGGCCAGCTTTAGGCTTAAAGAAAAAGTTTGACTTTTTGGGAAATCAACTTATATGCTTTCTTGCTGACAGTGAGATGGGCAGTAAGTTAGAGAGCTTTAGAGAGGCTGGTAGGTAGGTGGATTTTGTGTCCTTTGTACACAGCCAGGCGAGCGGTTTGCCCCTGTTTTCAACTTGTGCTAAGCTAAGCTAGCCAGATGTTAGCTGTAGCTTCAGATTTGCCAAAAGATACTGACAGTGGTATCAATCTTCTCACCTAACTCTCAGCACAAAAAGCAAATACGTGTATTTCCCAAACCATTTCTTTTAATGAATACACATGAAACAACTTAATCATGTCTATATAATCACACTACATAGCTATAAATCTGTGTCTCTCTTCAGCGCGACCACATGAAACGTAGCATTTACATCAGTACAGAGTAGTCGAGAAGCTCACTGAGTGTTTTCCATCAACAACGTCACCTATGAAATGTCTTGTGCTACATTCAGTCTGACCAGATCAAGATATTTTTTCTCCATGTGTTTATCTAAGGGCTCAGCAGGCGTAAGGTGGAGGTTTCTCAAAGGGGTTGTAGGCAGATCCATAGAGGACAGGAGCGTTGGGTGTCAGCATGTAGCCCCCTGGTTCCTGGGTGGCTCCCTGAGGCTGTGGCTGGGTGGGAGCCTGAGAGGGCTGCTGGTTCTGGTTCTGGTTCTCCTCAGACAGGCAGGAGTTGGATGCAGGGCCTCCATCAGGGATCATCTGGGGAGTAGCAGGTGGCTGATAACCGTTGTTGTGCTGTGGGAGAGGAGAGACAGGGAGTGGTGGGTTCCAACGGTATGCGGAAGTAGAGCCAAAGAAGATACCTAAAATCATTTCTAACATTTTTATGTGAGGTGTGTTTTTTTATTTTTTTATTCTCTTGATTGTGTTGTTTTGTTCTCTGGTAGCAGACAAAGAAATGTCAGCAAAAATTAGCAGTCATCATTAAAAATACACCATGATACATACAGTATATGAAACAATGCAACTGATGATTTAAGGTGATTGGCTTGTATAAGAAGTACAGGCCATGTAACCGTGTACTTTATGGCACCTATTCATAAAACATCAGACATTCCTGTTATCAACAGATTCTTGGATGAACATCATCACACACAAAGATTTATCTCTATGAGACAAGAAGACCAGTAGAACAATCTACAGCAATGTTAGCGACTCTGTGAAACACACAGAGCTCAAAGCACAATGATGCTTGGAGCTAAATGCTAAGATGCCCATAATGACAATGCTAAGATGCTGATGTTTAGCTGGTATAATGTTGACATTGTTCACTATCGTAGTTACAAAGTACAAGTGAGTTTGTTCTCAAAATCACAAATGTCAACCTCATGGTCAAGTCACACCATAAATGTACCAGATTTCATAGTAATCCATCTAATATTTGTCGAGATAATTCAGTCTGAACCAAAGCGGTGGACCGACTGAACTTGCCATCCCTAGAGCCGTGCCTCTATCGTGTCTCAAAATGTGGTCTGAAAAAACAGGGTTCTTCCATCAGTAGACGGAAGAACTGTAGGATTGAGAAAACATGGTTTTAGTCAAGCTTTGCAGGTGATCCACCTCAGTAATGTGAGGTGGCAGCAGTGCAGATTAATAGTTTTCTTTCTGGCCAAGCGCTTTGATGTTTGAGAGTGAAACATCTGTGCTGAAGCAGAAAGAATACATTTGATCCAGTCTGGCTCATCTAGTCTCCAAACTAATACACTGGCACAGGAAGATGGGCCTTTTTCACAGCAGACGTTTTCTACTCGTCATTGCAGGAATAGAACAGGTGTTACTAATTACATTAAAGATGGCTCTGTTCTATTCAAGTGTCCCAGTAAGCTGTGACAGTTAAATTCAACCGTCACTAATTTTGTTATTCACACTTTTCCTACAGAGTAATAGGTCTTCTGTGAAAAGGTTCCTATTAATGGTTCTTTTTTTTGTTCCTACCTGCATGGATATTGGATAGTTGGGGTAGGCGGGCAGAGTCTGTCCCGAAGGACAGAAGCCAGCGTAGGTGAGCATGTGCTGGTTGGGGTTGTACAGGATGTGGGGTGGCGGCGTGGGGCTGGCAGCCATCTGCGGAGTCGGCTTCTGCTGCAGGAGGACAGTAAAAATGCTTTGGATAAGACTGGAAGTCATCAGAAAGGATGTGAGCGTGCACCAGTTACACACACACACACACACACACACACACACACACACACACACACACACACACACACACACACACACACACACACACACACACACACACACCTCATTATATTAGAGTAAGTATGATTGCTGCCTAATGTACTGAAGGAACAGTAATCGTAAAATCAGGACCATTAAGACTAACAAAATAACATCAGTGTCTCATGTCTCTAAAAGAGATTACCAGACTACCATTCATGCCAGAGAAATAGCATTTTACTGAGGCTTTAGTACTTTCATGTGTGAGCAGTACATTTTTGGAAATGTGGTGAGGCAGTGAAACAAAAAGATATCTGCACACACATAAATCAGTCTTATGTTTCAAACAAAGCATTGGTAAAGTAACAGTAAAACAGGTGAAATCTGTGTTGATCAGATGCAGGCAGAGCGTGTTTAGCACAAATCTAACCTTTTCTGGAAGCTTAGAAAAAAGCTCTAGTGAGAGATGTTGCAGTGCAATTAAAATAATGTACTCTAATGACACATCCTGAAGATCAGACAGGATCCTATGTTTTACACACAGGCCAGGGGATTAGGGATTTTACGTTGTTCAGTGTCAGATGCTGTACGTAGCCCACGGGCAATGAGGAAGGGTAACTAGTTTGAAGTCACGAGTACCATAAAAAGCCTTCATCAAGGGTGCTGAAGCTTTTATCTCAGGCTCAGACTGCCTTTAAATCTTCTAGCTTTGAATTTTCCTATCACCCTTCACTCCAAAGAGCACTTTAAAAAAACATATTGGGCTCACAATATCTTTGTACGCTCCGAGGATGGCGGCAGTGATGATTCCCAGGAACAGGCCGATCACGTTGAGCACCACTGAGGCCCACAGCAGACGGTGCAGGTGGATCACATCCCAGCAGCTGCTGACCCCGGTGAACTCATAGTACTGCGTGTGATACTCTAAGCTGGAAGAGGAGGAGAGCAGTCATGAGCTGGTTAGGATGACTTGGACACTGAAGATCTCTGTTTTTATTATTATTGTCACAAATCACAAAGCATGTGTTCTTTATATTAAGGGAAGGAGACAAAGAAATAAAGAATTTTCCAGGCAGCCATTTATCTGCTAATAACTAAATATTTGCAAGCTAAGAGAAACTTTTTGGAAAACTCTTCCTCTTTGGTGTGTTCAAGAGCTTATGGAAACTCCAACATGCCGGATTTGAAAGTTGGCCGTCGAACAGGAACCTCTTTTCATGCAAGAAAGTGCCAAAATCTAAGGATCCAAGAGTGATTTCCAAACAGCAGAGCCTGTAAATGCATTTTTTGGCAGCCAGCTCTGAAATCTAAGATACTGTTTTTACACTAGCCCCTGCTCTCTACTGTATCATCAAACAAGTGTAACATTATAACTGACAAAAACACATAAATAAACATTTTGACTGTAGGAATGTTAAGATATATCTCGAGACAGTTAAATCACAATGATGAAAAATGAATCGTCATACTGTTTTTAAACAGTAGAGGGCGCTATCTAATTTTTACTTTTACGAAGAAAAGGAAATATACATTGTTTTGCACAGTTTATGTACCCTATTTCCCCATTTCAGAAATAAAAAAGGATTCTTTAATTTAATAAAGACAATATGTTTTGTAGGAATATTTTTTATACCGTGAACCCAGTATCATGAATTGTATCAAATGGTGAGTTTAGTGTATCATCCCTAGTTTACTGTGATGGATCTAATCTAAAATAAAGTGAGAAAATACTCTGCTGTGATGGACACACATGCACTCTAATGTTGCTCAGATCCAGAGGTGGCAACAGTACACACATTATTTACTCAAGTAGAAGTACCAATACTTACTGTGTAAAAAGTAATGATTCAACTTTTTCCCTCAAGTAAAAGGGGAAAAAGTACAGGCTCTGAAATCAAATCAGAGGATGAAAGTAAAAAGTGCTCTCTTGGTTTCTCTGAAGGATATTTCTACCCGATGTTTCTGTGCTAAGCTAACTGAAACTTAAAATAGGGTCAACCTAATGACAAAAAACATGCCTGATATAAACCGGTCATGATGTTGGGAAGGTATGCGATGATGCAAAACTAAAAAATTTATAATAATAATGATAGATAATTCCCCTCAAATGCATTAAAACATAAGTACATTTGTGTAAAAATGTAGGCAAAAGTAAAACCGAAAAAAAAAAAGTGTGATGAAGTATTTGAACTTGTACTTCCCACCTCTGCTCAGATCTGAACCCCAGCAGCTTGTGTTGTGTCTCACCTCTCACAGTTGTACAGGTAGCAGCAGTAGCAGGTGTTGCTCCTCAGTTTCAGCTTGCACGCTTTGTCGAATGAACGGCACGTCACCTGCGGCGTCAGAGAAAAGGTTCTCAGCGCTTTAATCATTTGTAATAAAAAGCTTAAGAGTTTTAATAACCTCATGGAAACTGACAGCAACAGCCAGATAAGCTGTCTGCATGTTAACATGTAATTTCATTTGTTTGTAATTTGAGTTGATGAAAAGTGAACTAGATTTGTTGTTTTCAGTGCAGTGACATTATTTGACAACTAGAGGTCACTACACACTGTGAATTAAGAAACAGAAGGCTGCAGGGCCAGACTATAATCTTACAGTGTATTTACCTAGAATGCATTTCAAACAGAATTTAAGCATTGAAGAGACAACGTGTGTCTCAGCAGTGTGTAGGAGGAGGAAGATTGGTGAAGTAAGTGAATGGAAAGCACACAGGTTAGGCTACACACACAATCGCAGGTGATATTAAGTATGTACATATACAGTATATATATATATATATATATATATACATGTATGAGAATCACCTCAGTATAGTAGCTGTCGTAGGCGTACCCCGATCCACTGGCGTAGAAGTCACACATGTCCTCTTGCAAGGGCCTTGTGTCCTGTGTTAGAAACATGAGCCACAGTTATATGGAAGCAGACAAACTAATATCAAATGTATAGCTCAGTAACTTGTCATTCACCACAACTGTGATCTAAATGTTTCTGCATCAGTTTCTTTATTTATAGTAAATTCTCAATGGTTTCAATGATGCACTTTTTGTATCATGTGAAGCTTACATGTGTGTGAATTTATGCATCACCCTCCTGTTTCTCTGTGAGTGTTTACAACACGTGCCCACTCAAAGCTGTCCACTGCACCAGACTACAAAACCTGCAGCATTAAACCTCACTGAACTTTATATAATGTGGAATATAATGTGATTGTCCGAAGCTTGAAGGTGCAATAAATATGACTTTTACTGTCCTGTGAGCACAAAGTGAATATATCTGCAGAGGTTTGATAGCACTGTTGATCAATATCAGCAACTTGGTGCCAGGTGCTGAGAGGTCCAGCTTTTTAAACCCTCTCTGGTCCATACTCATTAAGACACTCATTAAAATTCATTATGTCGGTGTGACAAACGGAGGTGTTGGTGTCTACGTATACAAACACTGAGAACATCTAAGAGAGGTCAATAAGGTCATTGTCCCTTCCCAGTAAGGAAGCAACAATGACCTTATTGACCTCTCCGCATTTTCCCTTCATTCCCATGTAAACAAATACATTCAGGTATTTGCACAAATTTAATTTCACGTATAATAATTTAGTCTGAGAGTTACTAAAGTCAAGAGAGTTTGAAATTGTCCTGACTGATGCAGTGATATGGACCAGGGACGGATCTAGATAAATATTCATGTGGTGACAACGGGGTGGCGTGCAGGAGTGAAGGAGTGTCATAAATGTATATACTGATTTAATCGCAAACAATCACTGTTTATTTGCTTGGAAAAGCCCCCAAATTAAGATATTTTAACTTGAAAGCATTACATTATTGTGGCACATGAGTAAAGCATTAGAAATATCTAAAGGTGGCATTAGATATCAAATTGTTTTAGTTCCAAATCTTCACACATTTTTCCCCCAAAAAATTTCGCTTAGTCTAAAATGTGGCCATAACAGATTATTAAATTAATTTACATTTTTTAACACATAATTCCTAAAATTTATCTAAATGTATGTGTTAAATGTGACAACATTTGACACCAAACTAGGATGGCCAGGCAGGGACAGATTTTGTGTTGACTGATGATGAAAATGTGAAGTAAAGTGTTAATTTATTTTTAAATAAAAGATATATTCCACAATAGTCAAAAATTCAAACAGACGATTGCAAGGTTGTTTCCTGGAAAATCAATTCTCAGTTGAAATAGAGTTAAATACGTATAGTCCATCTTTATCCATCTTTTTTTGTCGCACATTTTGTGTTTGTATTTGTTTTGCATTGTAATACAAGAGTTTTCAGTGTCTTAGAGAAAGTAAAGTAACGTTTGGACACATTTAATCAGCCCTGTTATGCCAACTGCTTTCCCCGCTCTGCAGGTCGGGCACTGAGATTAGTTGGTCTGGTCTACCTGTCTGGTTTTGTGATCATACCGACAGTTCTGTCTGATTGCATCTGCAGAGTTCCTGATCTTACTAATGTGTCTGTTTCTGTAGCAAACACCTCCCTGTCTTTGTTGACCTTAGCACGTGTGATTAAATCTGCGTGTGTGAATGTGTGTCAGGCTTTGTTCAGACAGTGACGGGTGAATTAGTTTGTATTTCTTTTCCGTGCAGGCAGGTAAATAAATGTGATACTTACAATGAACTCTGATGCGATGATCCCGTCCACAATGGCACAGAAGAAAGACGCAATAACTCCGATACTGATGAATATGATCGCTGCCATGAGCTTAAAGAGATGAGGATTGCAGAGGAATAAAAAAAAGGGGGGGTACAGTCATGAAAAACTATTTTGGAACAAAGAAAGTATCATCAAGGTAGAAATGTATGATATTATCAGCATGTGTGGATTGGAAACACACTTGTGACATGTTTCTGAATAAGTTGTAAAAACGCATCCACAAATAAAATAGGATAGAATATTTTTTATTTTATCAAGTACCTAAGAGTACATTTAAATAAATATAGAGTTTACAGAGACCAGGGGTCATTCTTCTGAATTTGATCATTTATTATACTCATCATTTCATTTTCCTGATTATTTAACTTTTGTTTCCTATTAATTAGTTTGCTAGAATTTGCATTATAGAGGGCAAAATCAAAATTGTTTCATAAGCTTAACACACACACACACACACACACACACACACACACACACACACACACACACACACACACACACACACACACACACACACACACACACACACGTGTTAGGACTGGTGTTTCTGCTGGTGTGTGCCCTGATTGGTCGTCTGCAGCGTCTGGACCGCAGAACTATAAAGGAAATGTACGGCTTCTTGCTCTGCCAACGCAGAGGTGCTTTGTGGGTAATTTATGGGCAAAGAGGCAACATACAGGACAGAGGGACGGCCTTTTGTACCAGCAAGGTCAATTTAATTCTCCCAATCGGATACACACACACACACACACACACACACACACACACACACACACACACACACACACACACACACACACACACACACACACACACACACACACACACACACACACACACACAGGCCTGGAAAGAACAAATCCACATTCACATTCACAATAAGTTAAGCCTTAAGAATCTAATCACTGATCAATAACCTCAAATCTTTACTTTTCAAACAACTCCCAAGTAATTTTCTGATGTCACACACACACACACACACACACACACACACACACACACACACACACACACACACACACACACACACACACACACACACACACACACAGCTTGCAGCAGACCCAGCTGGCTGATCACAGATGTTTGATCATGAACTTTATCACTGAGCATCGTTTACTGTCTGTTCAATCACTCCTCCAGGACCGAACCTCCTGTACTGAAGCAGGAGATTAAACACACTGTTTTTCTGTCTACTGTATCTATCTCGCTAAAATGCCAGGTGGGGTTGTCCCAGAAATGAAGGAAGGAAAGTCAAAAGGTAGGGTAGATTTTTAACATCTACCCATCCTACATTTACATGGGTTCCTTTTGTTGACTTTTGACGGCATTTAAGAGCTTCAGTTTTTCTTGAGAGATACAGCCAATGCTCCTGAGGCAGCACAAGTGATCACTTATGAGAATCAGAAAGACACTTTAATCAATCAGAAGTCATGAATTCTCAAACTTAGCTTACATTCCTAATTGTCTGTTTGATATTGTTTATTTTTTTGTCCCAACGACTAAACTTTGCAGTTGATTTGTCAGTTTGTATTTTCGCTCTTTTATTCAACTCAAACTGAAAGTTTGGACTAAAACTAAAATAATTTCAAATTCTGCAACCAATAAAGGATGAGAATCTAATATTTAAACCCTCCAGCTACCATCTATTATAACCAAGGTTATTATAGTTAACTAAAACTAAACTAACAACTAAAACTAGGTGTGAAAAACATTTTAGTTAAATGAAATAAAAAATAAAAACTAGACTTATATTGCATACTTACAAAACTAACTTAAATAAAATAAAACTAAACATTTTAAACAATAAAAACTAAACTAAATGTGCAAACCCACTCTGGAAACTAAACTAAATTGAATTGAAAACAAGAAATAAAAATAAAAACTAATGAAACATAAGAAACAATAAAAACCCATTGTGTATACAGTAGTGCACATGGCAGCCACCTAAAGACGAGTGCTATGAAAATGAGCTTTTACACTAACTGTAGTACATCAAATGATGAGCATTTATATATACAAATAATATGAAATGAATAAAAGGCGGGAATAACAGTTAAACACAACTTCCTTTACAAAGACAGTTCTCCAATTTTTTTGAATGCATCCCATAATAAAGTTGTAAAAGTTATATCACCTTAACAAGTGAAAAAAGACTAAATAAGCTGTTCATTATAGTGCTGTAAATGATCAGGTTTACTTGATAAGTCAATTTTATTTAGGGTAATGTTTAGTTAACCCAGTGGCCATGTGTAATGCCTATATGAGAATAACACAAGACGTAGTGAAAACTAATATTAAAACGTGAATTTTCCCTCAACAAAGTGAAATAAGAGCCATGCTGAGAGAATACACGTTTTCTGTGGGGGTTTTATCTGCCACTGGCCCAGGCTCTCCACTTCATTAGCAGTTTAAATGACTCTGCTTTTATGGCTGCAAGTGGGAGATGAGGCCAGCAGCAGAGACAATAGAGCCTGACAACTGCATTACTTCACATTACCTTAGCACCAGCTGCCAGCACATAAAACACCTCAACACACACTCTGTCGTCCAAAACCCCCGAATATCCCCTAATACAACTGGAGCAGAGAGAAAATTCAAATAGCGTAAAAGATTAAAGACACACAGACACACACTCTGTACTTTTATATCAGTAGGATTTTAAGTGAAGGACTTTTACCTGTAATGAAGAATTTTTATTTAAAGGTACAGTGTGCAACATTTAGGCGGATCTATTGGCAGGAATGGAATATAATATTCATAGGAATGTTTTTATTAGTGTGTAATCACATTATAGAAATCACTTTCCATGGAGTCTGCTATGTTGAACCACCATGTTTCTACAGTAGCCCAGAAGGGATAAACTGACTGTCGATTGGGTCTTTCACATTTTTTGTGAGTTTTGTGGCCAACGTGGTTTCTCCTACACTTTACAGCCCATTCTCATTCCCAGGTCGTCAAATACAAATGCCAGCATTGTTTAAACGTCACTGCTAGATGCCACTAAATCCTACACACCGGTCCTGCCATTGTGGATTTTTTTTGGCCACTTGGGGGCCGCAGAAACATGTATCACATATAATCACTTTATATATATATATATATATATATATATATATATATATATATATATATATATACACCCATCCAGCAGTTACAGTTGTCTTTATGGCCATCAGGTGAATTTAAGTCCAACATTAACTCTCTTTTTGCTCTGTTTTGGGTCTCCATCAACTCAGAAATAGCTGACTCTTTGCCTGATAAATGCTCCACTATTCATGTTGTTCATGTTTTCAGCTGAACAACAATGAGTTCAACTCAACAATGAGAACTCGCAATAAAGCTCCGTAAATCTGAGGCGAGCTGCAGATTCAGGAGACAATTCTCTGTAGATTCATTACCACGAGCGATTCCTTTCACACTGTCACACTGCTTACACAATGTCATTTCATTCATTGTTAATATATAAAGCGATTATAGCCGCTTTAGTAGTAGTGAAAAACCAAGAGAAATACCAATAAAAGAAAGACACACAAGATGAAAGCTTTAGAGAAGAAGATACATCAGTAACGAAGAGATAAAGACACGAAAAGGAATTTTATAGGAGTCAGTAAAGATACCTATCAGGTTACGTAACTAAAGTTGCTGACCGCTGCAAGGTCTTTTTCTCCTGCTCAGTGGTCCAGTGACCAATCATGACCACAGCTGAACACACTGGTAATAAGAACTTGTTGGGTAAAATACGGCCCTTTAAAAGGTCCGTCGTTCTGCTCTCCAAGCTACAAGGTGACCAAAAGGACGGCGGTCTGTGAGATAAGAGGCTGCTGGAGCAAGGAACATGAGCTACATGAAGCATTTAGTCATAAAGAAATCTTACAGTGTATCAGGGCACTGAAGCCTGTTTTAGGAGCAGCAGGGTGAGCACAGATAGGAAGGGAGTTTTCTTTTTTTCCTTTCTTTTACAGACAGAATTTCATGCTCCACAATCCTTTTAAACATTTTGGCAGACAAGATAAGCCAAAACGAAAAGTGGCAGTCATTACGTTTAACCAAGAAATGTCAGTGGGGCACAAATGTGTGTTTTATCTGCAACACACCTCACATTCATAAAGAGGACTGGTCTCTAGGGAGCCTTAAAAAAAATAGAGATATAAAGTGTCCCACTCAGCAAAGGGACTCAACTAGACAGTGGTTTAACACTCATCTGTGTGGTGGAAAAAACTATTCCCAATTCTATGAGACCAAGGTTTCTAGTATGGATGACAAGTGTTTATACAGACCTCATTATATGGAGGCGACTCTCTCACTCAAAAAAAACATACCTAAAATACAATGACTGTGTTTATTACATTTACATACACATGACTTAAACCCAGCACAACCCATTTTGGGCTTGATTAGTCTGCATCAAGTAATCTATGCACTCTGGTATAGAGCTAATATCAGGAATGAAAAGGCCACAATGCTGTGGAAGCCTAGATCATCTGCTGCAGTATACTGTACATAGTTTTGCACATATATTCTCAAAAACTGCCTTAAAAACAACAAATAGACACAATATATAATAAAGTCAGCATAACTAGAGCAATAATTAACCGAGTTACATATTCAGCCACTGTTTTAAACTGAAGTTTTAAATTGAAACGTTTAAGCTTTTTTTGTTTCATTCCTAAAATTAGATTGTTTTTGTAATGTAATAGAACTGTTTATAATTGTTTTAAAGGTCCAGTGTGTGGATTCAGTGGCAACCAAATTGCTCGCAAATGGCCCAATCGAGAGCCAGTGTTTGATTCGTCCCTTCTGGGCTACTGGACAAACATGGCGGTTCAACATTGTAGACCCACAGCGTCTTTAGGTAACAAGAACATTACAATTTCTATATTCAGGTGATTATACACTAATGAAAATATATATATATATGAATATTATATTCAGTTTCTGCCAATACATCCTCCTAAATGTTACACACTGCTCCTTTAAATTATATTTCATAGGATGCAGATTTTTGGTTCACTGTTATCATTTGATTTATATTTTAATGTTATATATGCTTTTACTTTTGCTCTGCATTAGTGTATCTGTATTGTCTGTTTATCTTTCTGTATTATCAGACAGTCTCTCACACTGTGAAGCACATTGAACTGCAGTAACCTGAGTACAAAGGGCTATACAAATACATTTTGACTGCTTGGTTGTATCAGATTAGATTTCTCCAGTCAGGAAGCAAACCAGAAATGTCTCCGTTCAGTAGCAGCAGATGAATTTGACTGATCTCTGACTGTTTACAGTTAAAACAACATGAAACTCTACGTCTGCTGCTTTATGAGGTCAGAGGACCAAAAGGCTGTGAGATTCAGGAAGTAAGAGAAGCTTCAGAGCTATCAGATGTCTCTGGCATTGTGGTACGGTTAGTTGTTCTTTAATGAGAGACCTGGCTCTGCCAGTCGGCTCTCATGTTACAGTACGAGCCCCAGACACAGGAGGGAAGAAGACACCTGTGTGAGAGGAACATCGTGCCACATGTGCCTCATAAGAGACACTGTAGACCAGCTCTAGTGTGGCAGTGATCACACCATTAAAGTTTAAAGCACAGAACTGGGAGTGATGCCGGAGAGGCAGACAGATACAGCAGGTAGTAAATTTGTCTTTGTCGATTCACACAGTGAGTGGGACAACAGCAAGGGCTCAGAAGGAGTGAGAGCTAATAGAAAATATTGAACTTCTTAAACTGAGATGATGCCTTATTCAGGACTATGACAGCTGCAAACACACACACACAGACACAACACACACTGCATCTCCCCACATGTGTGAACAGACGTTGGAAGGGTATCTGTGTAGACCGGATTAGATACGGTACACTGTAGCGTAACGTAAGACAGCCTGGATGCCACATGAAAAATTCACAACACACACTGATATACCACAGTCCCGGTGAATGGTGACAGGCAGAGGGAACGTTAACATCTATCACTACAAGACAGTTTTTCTGTTTCTCTGTACTCTATCAAGCTTATCTCCAAATGTCTCAAAAATATCTGTAAAACACACTGTGTATTTTATAGTCTGATTATATAATATTTCTAGGCTTGATTGACTGTTAATTGAAACTATGCTCCTCATGTTGTTGCATGGGACAGAATGCAGTTTAGAATAATAATCACCACTCAAAATTATTAGTATTTTGCCAATAACAATGACGCAATGATAGACAAAAGCAGGTTTTTCATTTCTAGCTGGTGATTTTGTCCCTTTCTTTTTTCTGATATTTTACACAATGTAATGTTGTGATGAATGCTAAAGATGACTTGACTGTCAAGCTGAGTTTAAAATGGCGAATTAAAGCCCCTATAAAGTACTTTTATTTTGTTTTGATTCTGGCAGCCCCTGTGCACCCTAAAAGCTGTAATATTTCTATCACCTCGTTTCATTGATTTCAAGGGAAATCTGACTGAATCCAACCCGGTGGCAGATATTAAGAATAACTACAGAAACAGCCTTTGTTTATGTAGGTGAAATAGAAGCATCACAATGATCCTACGGGACTTTCTGAGAATAAACTGGGAAGAGGAAATGTGATTGGAACTTGGAAACATTAAATGTTTTTTTGAACACTAAGCTAAATTAGATGACATAATATTTAGGACAAATTCAGAGGTGATAAACAAGGATTCACAATCTGCTAAAGTTTCTGTGTCACAGGTGTCCTCTTAACACAGTCTCATGCTGGGTTTCATGTACTGAGAATGTGATACTGACTACGTTACTTAAATGACCCAGTGGAACAGTTTGAGCTTCTGGTTGCCACTGGCCCTTAAGTAGTATTTGTCGGCCAGTTAACTGTCACAATTGAAGCTGATTGGAGGTCAGTTCATGTAGACTAGGTTCTCCTTTTTCTGTTTCTATATATTTTAGATGAGTGTGAAGCTCTCAAACTGGGATTTTTACTCTGTTCACCATCAGAGACCAGAGACTGACCTCTGATCAGATGCTTACATTGTAAGAGAAGTCAACAATCTTTTCAGACAGCACCACCTGTAAGCGCCTCTGCTCTGGAGTCATAGACATAATCATTTTTTGAACTCCCTGTTGTGCAGACAGGCACTTTAATGATATTATACCTGTGTCCCTGTCTGAAATAAAGGAGCCCTGTCAGCAGCTGACCAATACTAATGCAATTTCCCCTCTTGTCATTGAAATCCAGAGCCAATCACATTCACTTCCACTGACCACAACTCCAGTCATGTACACAGACCCGGGCTCAAGGACCAAGAACACATTACAACGTCATTGAGTAATCGGATTTGCTTCTTGCTCATAATAGAGCAATTTCCTGTAAAACAGTTTAGTGAATTTGCAAAGTCTGTAACATAATCCTCTAATTTATGGTGTATATATGTCCTGTTTTCCAGGAACAATGTCTCATTTTTAGAAGATATTATAAAGCTCGAAAAGCTGACAGAAGTCCCCTTGAGAGCAAACAAGTGTTGCACAATTTGAGCTGTCATTGTAAACAAACAAAGGGCCCACAATCAGGTTGAATTACAGACTGTATCATTACCAAAGGGACATAGTCTCCATGATGCCCATAGGTTTCTGAAGAGCCATTTTAAAGCTCATTCCTGACTTTGCTGGGCAAACACTGTGGGGCCGAACGAAGCCTGGTTACCGTAAACAGCCACCTGTGACAGCACCCACCTGTCACTCAAAGTGGCCATGCCCTTAATTATACTTAACTTCAGCCTTAAATTAATTTAAACAAGTCAGGAATGGGGAATTTAGCCACTGGCCCTTAAGTAGCATCCAAATGAGGGGTCTAAATGAAGGCCATAAAGGTCTCAAATGGATGGAATAAATAAGATCATCATTATAATGTGTTTTTAAATGTGTTGCAACAATGACATGAGAGGCAGAGGAGCAGACTCACCATGGGTCTGCGGTTTTCCACCAGGTGAATGCCAACAATGCCCAGAAATGCTCCAAAACTCAGCTGGAGGCGCAGGGCAAAATGAAAGACACAAGAACAAACATTAGGGTTCAGAGGAGGGAAGGAGATTTAAAAAATATATCATATAGTGTTTGAGGGGTCAATGACGGAGGTGACTGTGACTCACGGTGATGCCTGGGTAATATCCAGCAACAGGCACATTGTCAGTGCGAGTGGCAGAGATCAGACCCACAGTCAGCACCACCAGAGCCAGAAGCAGCAGAGATACGGTCATCCACAGAGCTGATCTCCTCCGACGCATGTACTGAACTGAGGATGGAAGAAAAGTGGACATGCATTACCCCTAATTACCCCCATCCTTAACCTTCAGTATTACATGTTATTCTGAACCTAATGCTAAACATAAAATTCAAACCCTGATTTCTAACCTCATCTAATTTCTCTTTTATTTGTTACCTGACAGATTCCAGCAGTTGTGGCAAAAGTATTCAGATCATTTAATGAAGTAAAAGTACCAACAATACAAAAACCCTGCAAAAGTCCTGCACTGAAAATCCTACTACCTAATTATCAACATTATTATACATCACACTTTTTAATTTCCTGCATTACATGATATATGATTATTATAGGTTTTGTATGCAGGATTTATTGTTTTTTGCAGTCATAGTTTTTGTTTTGAAGCACAAATAACACATTTACATTTACATTTTTAATCAGCAAGTATAGTTGATGAATGTAAAAAGTAGAACACAAGCTTAAACGCAAGAAACCTCTGTCTTTGAGAATGAAATGAAGCCCTTGTTCCTTTCTTTGGAGGACTTTTTGCTCACAAATATACACAAGGACACGTTTCCTATGCACTGAATCGAAATGGAGCAACACTGAATTAAATTAAAATGAAAACTTGACATAACTGTACCTGCTGGATCCAGTATTTCTGTCGCTGTTTGCTGAGTTGGCTGCTGGGTTTCAGGCTGCTGCATTTTGACTCAGTCCGGATGAATTGGCTCTAAATATGAAAATAGGAGATCAGGCAGCTGGACCGACGCTCTTTACTGTTTATTGTTTGTCCCTGTTGATTCAAACCAGAGTCCTCATCCTCCACGGAGCGACAAGCTGCGAGTAAAAAAGAGTGAATTATAATTCACTCTTTTTTTTGATAAGTAAGAGTGCGATAAATGTTACCACAGCTGATTCTGAGCTCAGAGACTGGTTCAAGTTTTCTTGAAACCAGAGAGAGAGAGAGAGAGAGAGAGAGAGAGAGAGAGAGAGAGAGACACCAATCAGCTCCCAGTATCCACCTGAGTGATAAATTATTAAATCATGTATGTGACATAGGTTTAATACAGCTTAGACTTTGTATTCCTGTTGAGAACAATTACAGTAATTGGTTAAACTCTGTGCTCTATAATAAAAAGGTGGGTAAAGGGAGTTTTGCGTGGTTTGGTGACTGTTGGTGGTCATGATGCTGCAGCGTTGATGAGGAACTAATATGAGTTTACAGCGACCTCCTGTGGCCAACTCAATCCAACCCATATGCATGAGGGAAATTCCTGCTTTTCTTATTATTCCTTTAAATATACGAACTACCATTCAAAAAGAAATACCAGTACAACCATAAAAAAAAGATTTTAGTCAAGACTACATGAAGTCCTAAAATATTATTATTATATTTAAGATAAATGTATCTGCTCTTGCTGCCATGTGAGAATATAGGAACTACAGTGTACTGAGACCCCCTTTCTGGTGATAACTAAGAGAAATAATACTTTTATGCAGTATGTATGCTTAAAGCCGTCAATTAAATGATCTTCAGAAAATTAATCAGCAACCATTTTGATTGTTGATGAATTATTTAAATACATGTTCAAGATTAAATGCTAAACATAACCCAGTTATAGCCTCATAGTTGTGAGTATTTATGTGATTATTAAATGAATATATTTGGGCTATTTGATTGACAAAACAAGCAAACTAAAGATGTCCCCTTGGATACTTTTCCATATCTTTCTCTCTTTCTCTTTTCAAAGGCTCAAACATAAACCGTACCGTTTTTAAATTACAACAGTAAACTTATTTAATATAGTCAAATGACACATTTTGTCCAGTGTGTATACCACCACATCATCACCAGAGATTACTTCAGTATGTCCTCATTTCACTATCAAATAGGTTCCTCTTAGCTGTCTGAATCGAGGTGTTGTCTGATTGTATCTGCCGGTGTTTTTATCATTAGTACATAGGTACTGCTGCCTCTCTGGGGTAGGAACTGGATATATGTGTCAGTTTCATGCAAACATGAATTTTAATAGCAAAATATTTATTTAAATTCATTAACATCTCTGCAGCAATGTATACAAGCATATTTACACTTCTGAAGCTGCAGAACGATTATAACACACTGAAGACGAACAAGGTGGATACACAGACTGTTCACAGGTATGTGTGTGTGTCATGGTGCCTAAAAGTTTTTGTCGTATAAAAGATATCTGAGGGAGCAAAAAAAAACTACCAAAGCTGCACTGCTAGTAAAAAAAATACTTTATCATCAACATCAATAAAGTTCATTCCCCTTCAAGTACATCACTAACCTAAAATCTTGTATGAAAAGTGCTTAAAAATAAAGTTTGATTGACCGATAAAGCAAACAGTTCATGTAAAATCCTCCTTGCATCATAGCCTCTTACGACACTCTGCAGGTGGAGGACTTGGGCGGCTGCTCCAGGATGGATTCTCGCCGTAGGTCGTTGGGCAAAGTGCCTTTGGCTCCCCAGACCGTGAGCTCATCGTAGATCCCCATCTCGATCATCTCTTCCTGCCAGGGGATGGAGATGTTCCCTGAGGCAAACTCATCAAAAAACACGTTGTCCTTGTCGTCCACCTGCACGCCTTTCACCGTGGAGAAGGCCCCAACGTCGTCAATGTTCTTGGCATAAACTGTCTTGGAGTCTGGCACGAAAGGGGGTGTAAGGATCCCTGAGGAGAGACAACATACTTTTAGTACACTAACTTTTAGTACATAATCTATCGTGACAATATCAAAGTTCATTTAAGGAAAAAACACATTTAGTTATTAAGAGTTTAACACTAAACACTCTTACTCCATTTACAACAACTGTGTGGGTGTGTTTTGGTCAATTTGATTGGCAGTGTCCTGGCAACATCACTGGATGTTGCTAAATCCTGATTGGTTTACAGAAATACGTGGCATCAATTTTATTCAGTTTAGTGCCAGCCACTTTAAACCAGTGAGAGAGCAAAAACAAAAATACAGAAATATCTAGAGAAAGAGTGAAAAGTGTTTAAACTGGCAGAACATTTATGTTTAGGGCCTCCTTTCTCAAAGTAAGAAGCTGATTCAGAGCCTTTAACGCGCAAGTAAATTTAAAAGAAATACTACAGAGACTCTTCCAGTAAGTCACTTATTTCAGATTTGTTTTTTGAAGTCAACTTCACACTGCACACTGTTTCTACACATTGTTTCACATCACAACAGCTATATTTAATATACTGTATATAGTGTAGCAGCACCATAAAACGTGAAACCAAATCTATAAATAGGCAACACAGCATATTGGAATACTTCCAAAAACAAAATCACTGAGCAGAAAGTTAATAAAACTGTGTTACAAGCGCAGAGACAGATATGTGTATTAGTGCAATATGATGAAAGCAGACAAAACAGTGATCTTGATTAAGATATGATACCGTATTTGTCTGATACACACCTGCATTCAGTTTCCTCCAGTTGATCTCACTGAAGAAGGGATGCGCCCTGAGCTCGTCACATGATCCGTTCTTGAAGCCGAACCTCTTGTCGACCTCTTTGAACAGCAGACCTTCGCAGATGGACCGGGTGTTCTCGCTGAACTTCTCTGGATACATGACTGTATCATTCAGGATCCGCTTCTTTACCACTTTGTTCTCTACCTTCAAACAGCACAAAGAGCAGCAGGGATTAAGTTAAACCTCTCATTACATTCATTACATACATCACATTATAACATGTCACAATAGTTCACAATAGTTTAAAGTCTGTGAATAAAGCAATAAAGATAGTAAACAATTCTCCAGTTTGGACATTCAGGTTTATGTACACAGTCATCAGAATAGTATATGCTGTACAATACCTCTGTACATCCCCAGTAAAGGAAATATCTATCCTGATGTACATAAATGATGAATGCTTAATCTAGAAATATGTAACAAAATCTGCCTCTTCACTTTAAGGTTAGATGAAGGGGTAAAGGTAACTACAAAGTACATTTTCTCTGTGCTTAAGTACAACACTGAGGCACTTGTAGTAATACTAGAGTATTCGTTTTATGCTACTTTACACTAATGTGATATTACATGTTTACCTAGGTAAAATATATGAATACTTCTTCCACCACTGGTTAAATGAGGGGCCAGGGCTTCTTATTGCACTGCAGTATCAGCATCAGGCCACAAGAGGGCAAAGTTGAGCCATCAAATCTGTTACTGTATTATAAGTTTTGTAAAGGCAGGTTTAAATACCACATGACAAAAAGATATAAGAGCTAACAAGACTGCGAGGAAAGAGACAAAGAAAATATGGAACCAAAACAGTAAACAAAAACATCTTAATAATTTAAAAAATGCTTAAAACATGGATTGAGAATAGGAAAAGCGGACACAAGGTCATACACAGTAGGTGTACCTTCTCTCCTCGGGTCCTGAATGGTCCCCTGGCAGCCATAAACTCAAAAAGAGTGACCCCCAGACTGAAATAATCTACAGAGTAGTCGTACTCCTCTCCTTTCAGCAGCTCTGGAGCCATGAAACCTGCAGGTCATGACCTTTCAGTTAGAGAGCGGACATATAAACTTCTGAAAAGATCAAAATTATACATAATAAAAATAGTTCTAAAAACATACAAAATACAAATACACCCATACATGAGGATTACTTTACATTTGCTGTGGTCACGATTTTAGAAATACTGAGGCCAGGAGTCCAAATTCCTCCAAACAGCCACCTAACTGAGAAACTTCTGACTATTCGTCTTCTGCCATTTATGTTAGCAAATCTCATTTTATATTTTGATTCTTTGTCAGATATTTTCTCTATTTAATCATTGTGCTCTATTATAAAGTGGCAGGATAGTTTCAGTCCAGTTATTCAGGTAACACTGGTTGGCAACTGCAGTCCGTACACACTGCAGTTTGTGGTATTACATGGAACAAAGTAAATGTCATGTATTAATTACACAGTGACAGAGACAAATACTGTTCAGCTTTAGGTTTTGTTCATATATCCTGTTAGAGCAGCTACAACCAGGTACATGTCAATTTGTGATTATTGTTCCGACTGTACCTGGAGTCCCAGCGTAGCCCTTGGTTTTCAACTGATCATCAGCCAGCTCCACAGCCAGACCAAGGTCAGAGATACGGACGTTACCTGTGAAAACAAACACCAGGGTAATGTCAAGAGCTGTGCACGTCACAGATATGAATGTTGACCTGCACACTACGTCTCTGTAGTAGCACGATAACTGAAAGACGTCCTTGTGTTAGTATAATAAGACACTGTGTGTACTGTAAGTGTGAAATGATGTGAGTGGTTCGGTGGGTTTATACAGCGAGTGTGTGGTGTGTTTTGACCTCAGGAGGCTAACAATGGGACATACTTTTAAAGTCAAGGTAATTTGATCACAGTGAAAAGCACAAATTTTGGTTAAAAAAAATGCTTACTGATAACACGAGTGGTATCAATCTCCCCGTCTTACTATCGGCATGACCTATATGAACCTATATGGTCTTAAGTGTTTAAATAACCTCTAAGTGGTTGAATGAACTTCTTCTGTAGAGTTACATTACCCCAGTTTGACAGTCACATGAATTACCAAAAGCACAACAACTGTGAGAAAACTGAAGTCTCAAAGAAGTTACTTCAGGCTGCACTTCAGGACCAAACACAAGAGACAACATCTTTCTTTGTTTTTGTACTAGCTGACCTTGATTATCCAGCAGCACATTCTCTGGTTTGAGGTCTCTGTAGATGATCCTCTTCTGGTGGAGGTGCTCCAGGCCCTGGATGATCTGAGCAGCATAGTAACAGGACCGTGGCTCGTCAAACCCCGGGTTATTCTCATCCACGTTATAAAGGTGATACCTGGTGGCACAAGACAGGAAGGGGGTAGGGTATAGACTTTTATTTTATAGACACATTGTGCTCCAAAGTGGTAATTCTAATACGATTACATATATATAAGTTTATACAAGAAATATACACTATATGTGGACATTAAGGACACCCATACAAGACATGACATTTAAAACAATCTGTAAAAAAGAGAATGGGATTGTGGAGCAACATCAGGTGCAGACAACGTGAATCATTGATCCCAAAAAGCCAAATAAATACAGAATCTAAATTTAAATGCATAATGCTTATATCAAAATATTCATTGTTAATACTGGGTTGCAAACTGTTTAAATTAGATCCCTTTGGCAGACCCTGAGGGAGAGACTGAAACATGGAGATGTTGTGGTCAGCATGTCAAGTGAATAAGATGGTGTCTAACCTCAGGTCTCCTCCGTTCATGATGGTCATGACCAGACACAACTCTGTTCTTGACTGGAAGGCGTAGGCCAAAGAGACAATGAACCTGCTGTGAACTCGAGCCAGGACCCTCTTCTCCACCATCGCCCCCTACAGGACAGGAAGGGACAGCCAGTAAGAGTGCATATTTACAGGCATACATTAACTTATAAAGAGAGTATATATCAAACACAGTAAACATATATATTAAAACTTGATTATTTAAACAACATTTTCAGAGGCATTGAAGCCACTGAAATTATTGTTTCTGTTTTGGAGACTGAGTAGAAGATTAGGAAATACACTCGAGAGCTGCTCCATTTATAAACATGGTGGGATTGGTGCTTTATAAGGAGATCAAAATGTTCTAATGCTGAAGGCACTAATCATATAAGCCAAAGGTGCCTAACGTCGTCTGCAAGACTACATCTAGTTACTGACTGTTGTTTAGAGGGCAGGATTAAACCAACACTGTACATAGAAAGCCTGGAAAACCACGAGAAAACCAGACCACAAATTATGTTTCCAAATTGTAATCAGAGCGCAAACTAATGTAATTTAGTTAACTGAGATCTTCTGTTGCATCTTGTCATCATCTGGTTCCTTACCTCATTGCCTTTTCTCTTCTTCAGCCTCTTCTTGTTGAGCTTTTTGCAGGCGTACAGTTTCCCCGTGGCCTTCATCTGACAGGCAGACACTTCCCCAAAACCCCCTTTCCCCAATACACGAAAATCCACAAACCAATCCTCTTCCACGGGCTGCATCTCTAACCACTTCCACTGCAGAAACCTTTTCAGATACATACTCTCCAGGAAGAAAGTATAGGGTACCTCCTTGAGAAAGTCCATCACGTTGTCCATGGTCTCAGTGAAAAGATCATCCCCAGCCTCTTGGTGTTTCTCTTTGACTTTTGTGATGCCATTCTCTGGCAGGAAGGGGCAGAAATACTTGGCACCAGGCTCCATGTACCGGGACATGATCTTGCTCGCTTTCAGGGCTCGAACTTCATCCTCTGCCATGTTGTATTCCTCAATATCCTTCCACAGGCGGCAGGGGCCTTTGTACTCATTGTTGGAGTCTAGGAATTCATGGAAGAGTCGTTTTCCGATGGGCTGCTCCACGCAGACTGTCTGGAAGCCCAGGTCTAAAGTCTCCCGCAGGCCTTCACACACAGTAATATGAGGCAGCTTGAGGCGGGAGTGGTACTTCTTGTCTCGGTTGGATGCAGGGTTGGCAGTGCCATCAATGCTCCCACGGGCCAAGATGTAGGCAGAGTTGGCCACCACTGTCGTCAGGCCACCAATATCCATGGTGACACAGTCGAAAGGTGAGGAGGAAGGGATGAAGGGATGTGTGAGATGCAACAACAGCTACAGAGAGAAGGTACGGCTGGGAGATGAACGTCTGGAAATGAGAGCAGAGAGAAGCATAGCAAAAAAGAAGAGCAAAGTAAAAGCAGATGATATATGACTAATCCCTGATAAGAACGAGATGTGATGTGGTTTTCTTCCTCCGACGCAGAACCAGAGAATATCGTACATTTGACTGTCTGCTCGATGCAGACAGCCACAGTGTTTCCCTCAACGAGGCTATCACTAAACCTGTCCCTTCTCTTGCCCTCACACACACACACACACACACACAAAGACATGCATGCAGATCTACCTGAGTCATCACCTTTCCCCAAAGGGATTTATCCACTGTGTAACTCTGTAATGCTTTAGCCTGTGCTAACCCATGTGCATGCTGTTGAAGAAGAGAAGGGAACACAAAGAGCGAAACAAATACTCAGAAAAACACATGTAAATGAAGAGGAGAGACAGAAAAGGAAAATGAGAGGGGGGGGGGGAGGAGGGATACATGTGGTATGTAGTGGGCTGGTAATGTCAGGAATGCAGTGATGTTGAGAGAGACTGGCACAGCAGGCGCTGTCACAGAGAGAAATGGGAGGAAAGGCAAGTGTTTACAACAGCTAACATCAAGTGTCTGCAAAAGACTGGACTTGTACTTGACTTTGTTCTTACTTTGTCAATTCTCTCTATAACCTCCGGGTGGGTGCAATTGTAACAGTGACAAAATAAGGCATATTAACCCACTGTAGCACACCTCAAAGTAATCACATTACTGTTGTAGTGTCAAATAATTTTATTTTGAATTTTATTTATGCTTCAAATTATTTCAGTCAAAGCAAAAGTTTATTTCTATTTTTAGGCAACTATTTTAGTGGTAACTAGATTTAAATTGAGTTAACACTGATCAGCTGATGAGTCAGAAACAGCCTTTAACCAAACTAAAATAAAATGGTACAAGATAGCGATATTAACAGAAAAACACAATAAGATTATGTGGAGATAATATTCATAACATTTTAATAGATTTCTAAAGCAACACATTCTGTGATTATTTCAAAAATATATGATATTATTGTAACATTTTCAAAAAAGTAAACATGTAAAACATCTAGCAGCAAAGGAAGAGTAAAATATGATCTCTGAGCCATGATAAGATCTTGTATGCTAGTTAGCAATAGCTTTATTAGCACAGGCTGTTCATTTTTAATTATAATTAATAATTAATTAATACATTCATTAATTTTAATAACCTTCATCTAAGAATCTTGAGCATGTGCAGAGTAATCATCACTCGTGCTTGGTTCTGACTGGAGGAATTGAGTGTGTTACAATTGCCCCCATGCCCCCAAAACCAAAAATGATTAATCAGTTTGTCAATTAATGAACAATTTATGAAAATCCCTTATTCACTTATGTTGTTATTCAAGCAACAAACATGGTAGCAGCTCTGTGAAGTTGTACTTTAGCACAACAGGGTTTTGAGCTAAAGGTCGTCGTGCTAATATGCTTACAATGAGAATGCTCACATTGTAATGTCTACCCTGTTCACCATCTTAGTTTAGTGTGAGAGCATGCTTACATTAGCGAATTAGCACTAAACACAAAGTGCAGTTGAAGCTGACAGGAATTTTGTCAGAAATCAAAGTACCAAATCCATCAATAGTTGAGGTATTTCAGTCAGTCAACTGTTAACTGTCCTACTGGCTGCTACATAAATGTGCCAAACATTAATTGGTTTTGGTTTATTAGATGTGAGGATTTGCTTCTTTAATCTGTTTCATTCACTGCAAATTGAATATATAGTAGGTATAACTGTTGGTAGGACAAAAGATGCAATCTGAAGATGTCACACTCGGTTCTGGAGACAATTTGTGACACTTACTGGGTTCATTTCATTGACTGTATGTTCACACTTGGTTCAGTTATTAATGCTGATCTAATCTGTGATGACATTGTTACAGTATCCACTCCCTTTAAAATGCTGTCTTTATCACTTAAGCCCAAATTAGCTCTTCGGCAGGTACCAGAATGTTTTTTATGCTTCAGTATGTCAATCATCTCAATCTGAGCAAATCATACGCAGTCGTTCACCTTGACTGTTGCCGGTAACCAAGCTGCCCGGCTGTTCAAGGTGATCCTGAGGTTTCTCCAGGGAGTGAAGGGGGTGTTGCTGCTGAAGAATAAAGTTGACCTGTTTCTACATTGGCCCACCTCAGCCTCCCTACCTGCAGCATACCCACCTTATCTTGGCCTTATAAATAGTGAATAAGAGATAACACATACATCACACTCTGGAGCGAGAGGTCCAGGGAGTGACTTTTAGCTTTTACTGCTACAACAGAGAATGAGAGAGTGGACGAGACATTAGCACAAACCTGAAAGTGCCTGGGGAGGGACAGGAGAGAGGAGAAACTAATATTACTGTTTGAGTCTTGAGTGAAGGAGGGAAGAAGAGAAGCAAAAGTTAGAGTTCAGTAAAGGAAAAGAAAGTTGTGGATCCTGGTCAGCACAGAGCTTCATCATGGCCACCTTGAAGGAGAAGAGGACTTGTGGGCAGCGATGTGAAGACTTTGGCCGTTTTGTCTGGAATTCCGACAATGGGACGTTTATGGGGAGAACACCAGAGAAATGGGGTAGGGATAAAATAATAGCTGCATCAGCCTCTCTCATGCAACATTAGATAAATCTATGGCTCATCAGAGGTATTATTAAAATTATCCTGAAGGAAAAGTGTCCTTCATTTGCTACTGATGAGGTTTTACTTGAAGTGACAAGTGTTCCTGCAGTGCAATTTGTTGATTGACATATATGTTGTCTATGATGTTTGCATTGTTTTTGCAATGCTAGTGACCAATACTACCAAACATGAATCAAATGCTTGTCGAATATTTAAACTGAAGAACAGACATAACATTCAGTGGTATTAAATAGCCAAATCAAGGGAGTATTTCCCAAAGTTATAATCTTTTTAGCCAAAATGCTCTCTTTTTGTGTTTCTTTACCGTTCCTTCTGTACTCATTATGCTGCAGAATGACTCCTGTTGGTGTATTATTTTATAAGTGGATTGTTATTACTAAAGCCTTACAGTGTAAGCAGAATTGTAATGTTGTATCTGGTTGAGGTGGAGGTATTTTCAACTACTTTACACACTGTTAGGCAGTTTATTTGTAACAGTGCTTTAAGTGTTATAAGATCCTCATATCAGAAACAGAATCAGATTTATGTTATCACATGAGGAAATCCTCACAAAAAAACATAGTAAGAGAAAAGAAAAGCAAGTGCTGCAAAAGTCAAGAATCATAAATAAAAGATAAATTTGAAATATATATGTAAATATGTAAAATATATCTATTTTTTAAATGAAACGAGAGGAAGGAATGTGCAGATTTGCAGTATAAAGTATAAAGAAAATGTGTAATATGCACAGATAATAATCCAAGAGACTGTATGTTAATGTGACGTATTGTGACCATGGGGTGAGACATTACCAGGTGAAATAAATGTGGTAAATGTACTTTGTTACTAATTGCACAAGATGCAATGTATACGTGTGTTTGTATGTGTGTGTGTGCTGTGCTGTGTGACTCCTTCTGTCCTTTTAATATCACTACAGAGAGGTATATGTTTACAGCATGTGGACAGAGAGAGATAAGCCTGCTGTTGTGATAAGTCCTTCCCCTTATGTTTGATTTTTACAATCAGATTAAACTGAGCTCATATTGACAGAGGACACCTTGACCTCTAAAACATGTAGACGCACACCTTTGCAAGCACACTGCAAACTCGCTCTCTATACTTTGTGTCATGAGTGTTTTCACATTTAGCATTACTTCCTTGCATATTCTGTAAATAGAGGAAGAATTTGAGTTTGAAAACATTCACAACAGCTCAAAAACAGCCTTAAAATTAGACATTTGACAACATCATAGGGGCACTGAGACAAAGAGACACTCACAGAGAGATGCAGCAATAAACATGTGCTTCTGACTGTGTGTTAACAAAGAAACTCTGCATTAATCTCCTTCGCAGTGTACATCAGTCTGTATTTTGTGGCCTTCTATGTGGTGATGACATCCCTCTTTTGTCTGGCCATCTGGACCCTCATGTACACTTTGAGTCCTTATGCACCGGACTATCAAGACCGGCTACCATCTCCGGGTAACACAAAAACAACAACAACAACAACAACAACAACAACAACAACAAGGACTTAATTTAAGTTGACAACTTAAGTGGCTCTTAACCAAATCTCTGTTTGTTGGTCCGTTCAGGGGTGATGGTGTGGCCGGACACTTATGGAGAGGAAGATGTTGAAATCTCCTACAACTCATCAAACAAGGCCAGCTGGATGAAAATGTCCAACATCCTTCATACATTCCTGGAGCGTTAGTATTTACTCACTCGACCCTGTTGGACATTTAATTTTTAATAAGGTCGTACTTCAAAACATCTAAATATTTCATTCTGTCTCTCTTCTTCAGCCTACAATGACACCAAGCAGCTTGAATGTAACAACTACAACTGCACTAAGGGAAAGTACTTTATCCAGAACACCTTCTCTGCCCCCCACCACACCAAGTGGGCATGTCCGTTCACGCAAAGTATGCTGGGACCCTGCTCAGGATTAGAGGACCCAACCTTCGGCTACAACTGCACCATGCCTTGTGTCATCATTAAGATGAACAGGGTACGTTTAACTTATAAATATCTTGGCTATTGCAGTACATTATAATAATTAAATCACACTAAATAACCATGACTAGAGTAAATTAAAATATTTTGTATATATTCTGTTTTGTCTCTGCAGATCATTGAGTTTTTGCCTTCTAATCACACTGAGCTTCCCCCATACGTCAACTGCACTGTACTGGTGAGCCATGTCTGCATATACTGATTTTAACAGCATGCATTAAAGAAAATTAGTCTGTCAGACAGTTTGAGGAAACAATGATCAGAATCGATGCAGCAGAGGCAGACAAGCAATTTTTGCTCCCCCCCCCCCAAAAAAAAAGATCCTACATTTCCCACAGTGCACCTAATTTCGTTACACCCTTCCAAACATCAGTGTGTATCAGACTTTCTGTTATAAATATGTAGTATCTATGCCAAGGGTTAAATTGTCAGACTTTACAGCTCCTCCAGGTTCACATGAAATATTATACAACTGTTTTATTAGGCTGCGTAATATACTATTACATATATTATTATACCCATTACATATGAGGATATTCTGTGTCTGTGTATGTGTATGTGTATGTGTATGTGTGTGTGTGTGTTTAGGACGGACAAGCTAATGTGGACAAAATCGAGTATTTCCCTGACAGGGGTATTATGGATCTCTCTTATTTCCCTTACTACGGAAGACTGGCACAGGTAACAGACAACGCTTTGTATTATTCATAAAACAAGATCAGTCATTAAAATGTCCTCTATAAAAATAAGGCTGGATTTCCAACTGGACAATTTTGACATGAAATAGTAGGATAAACACAGGTGTTACCAATGATACTAATTAAGGTTCTGTTCAATTTAGGTAAAACTGAGTCAGGGTTCTGTTTTTGTGCATGTTGGCTTACTGGAAAGACTCTAAATTAAATGTAGTATTAATTATTATCCTTGCTTACCCTACTATTTCATGTCAAAATGGCTGCTATGAAAAAGGTCTGTTGACAGTTGTTGGTGGTAAAGTGCTGAAAATATGCACATTTACATTTTCAACCGTTGTCAGTGGGCCTCGTGTCAAAATATCGTGTATATGGCAAACTGTTTCTTTCACATGACAGTAACCAACGCTCTGCATTGCCTCCTTCCTCCTTTTCGTCAGCCTACCTACGTCAACCCGTTGGTGGCGGTTCGGTTCAGCCTGGTCGGAGAGAAGCACGCCAAGATCCAGTGCCGAGTGGTCTCCGACAAGATCAGCTACGAGAACTTCCACGACCCCTACGAGGGAAAAGTCATCTTCTACCTCAAAGCAGTGAAATGAGAAACAGTAGCTCAGATATAATCATGTAACAACTCACCTGTCAGTATCAAAGCTAGAGCAGGTGTCTACAGATCAATAGTGACTATTATTTAAACCACTTGTATTCAACTTAACCCAACAGTATAGGCCCACTTGTAAATCTCTGTGCCGTATGGTGCTTTTATAGACATGATTTTGTCATGCTTTGCTGAATGATTAATTCTTTGAACTTGTTTGTTATCTGATTTTTATGTTTTACCATAAGATAAAAAGTAAGATCCATTAATCTATTTATTGTTATGCAACCTGGTGCACGCTAACATATTTAACCTCTGTCTGCATTCTTCTCCAAAAACCTGAGGATGTCAGAGGGAAACTACTAGATTCTTAAACACAACAGAACATGTTCATGTGGTGACAAATGTAGCTAATGCATCTTTCAAATGTCTTTCTAAATAAAACTCAATCCAATTTTAGTTTGGTCTCTAGAGTCTCAGTGTTTAAGGATGATTTATTGTTTGCCAGCTGGTGCAGAGGAATGTAAACCAGACAAACTCAAAAATATATTCCAGCACACACCAGGGTACCAGGATTAACACTGTTTTAGTTCGCTCCTTTTTGTTTAGTTTTTCATGCAATAAAACTGTCAATCCTAATATCCTTGTGGTTACCTTTTAACAAAATCCAAGCAGTAATGAAGCTGCTGAGAAAGCGGTACACCTCTAAAAAGTCAGTTTAAGTACAGTCTGTAGAGTATCTGTAACTGGCTACCCCCACTAATAGGATGATGATGGTGCTGAGGTTTCTCACAAATGTGCTGATGGCAGAGTTTGTGGGTTATCAGCTTACACAGTGCGAGTGTGCTTGCATGCACACGCACACAGACACACAGACACACAAACACACAGACACACAGACGTCTCATATGAATATGTCCATTTATCAGCTTCTCTATTGTATGAAGAGGGAAGAAAAATGCAAATACAATGCCGTCATCAGAAAGTAGATGTGTTTAGTAGCAGTGTGGAGAAGTGGTTCCCAACATAAATGATTTGTGATGAGGAGATAATTACAAAAATGTCATACACAAACTCACATTTGTTTTGTGAAATACTGAATACTTTAACCACTTTGGGGCTTCTAAAAAACTTAAAAAGAGGGGAAAAAAAGTCCACATTAAAACTATAATCTGTAATGGGGGGTCATAAGTAGACGTTTCATTTTTAAGGGTCCAACGCCAAAAGGGTTAGGAACTACTGAATTAGAGGACTCACACTTGCACTAAGATCTTAAAATACCAAATATTTGATTCATAAATGTGAAAAATCCCTCTCCGATTTTGGGGAACAAAGCTTTTTCTGTGCTGACAGAGCCTGATGTCTGTAGTTCTTTATCATGCAACTGAGCTCCACAGTTATATTAACTAATAATAAACAGTAAAGAGGCGGGAGAAGGAGATGAGTGATATTGGAAATTATAGCTTTATGGTCGGCTGGAGGGAGGTCTATAAAACAGCTTGGTCATATTCCCAATGCACCGATATAAAATCAAATTGGTTTGACATGGATGATGCAGGTAAATGTGTGGGCCGACTTCCTTTTAATGGGATAACATCACCAGGGGTCAGATTCAATGCTCCATTCATTAGAGAGCTAACATTTAAAAGACAGAAGACAGTATTATTATTACAAGACCTGGTTGTCTTTAGCTGTGCGAGACTGTTGGGATTGTTAATATTTATGAGAATTACTGCGATCAGACGATTCATTTTTATGTTTTTATGTTCCTTCGAAGTACTGCAAAGTAAAACAGAGTCAATACTTCTTTGTCATCTTATTTTAATAAATAAATGAGTTAATTAAACATTTCAAAAATACATGAACATTTTGATGAAAAAAAAGCAGTTCTTTGTGCCTGGAAGCGTCAGTCAATGCCACCAACATGTATGTAAACTCAATCCACTACAAAATATAAAGACAAAATCCCTCTGTGTTAACATACTGCAGGAAAATATAGCACACAAAACACAATGCAGCATCTATGTAGCCACATACGTACGTTCACATTGCACATTATGGAAGATACGACAAGGACATTTACGAGATGCCACAAAGGTTCTCTCTCGCAGGGAGATTACACTCCTCAAAGTCTCGCTTTTAGTTAAGAGCAGGCACATACGTTTGACATTCAATGGTAACTAGTGCAGGATTTTTCTTTAAATGTAACCTCAGTAAATCAGTTCTGATGATTAACTTCTGTTCTTGTGAGCTTCTATCTAATATTTCATTATCTCCATTTCTACGTTTTCCTAATGTGCATTACACCAGGGATTACATACATCTGACAAGCATGGAGAGCCTAAAAAAAGACGGTTATAGACTTGGCAAAAGGAATTATTGTAGTTCTTAGGTAACACTAAAATGTGTCATCACAGCTAAACTCTCAGTAGTACAATGATTAGAATAAACTACAAGTACCATATATTAAATACAGTAAATAGGAGGTTTGCACTTCAGTAAGAATCCAAGCTGCCATTTATAAATCTAAATTTGAAGGTAAATGGTGGAAATTGTAGTGCGACCTAGTCAAACATACGGGAAATGGAGGCAATTTTAAATCTCACACAAAAAGTTTTCCCTATTAAATAAAATTCAAACTAAAATGTTTCGATACATGGAAAAATAAAATAAAACACGAAGTCAAACCTTCAGATTTGGTCCTTGTGAATGTCAGAAAGAGAGAAACTTGATGCAGTTAAAAAAAAAAAAAACAATGGAAAACAAAATCTTTCATATAGACAGTGGAGAGGGGGTATCTGTTTTTCTTCATAATGCATTAAAAAGTGCATTAAAATGGGATATCAAGTACTTGTGCTTCTCCACTAAACAGCCAAGCAGGTGTGCCTCCTATCAAGAGTTGTTGGTTTTTGCTAAAAGAGTGGATGTTTCACTGATACTGCAATTTTATAGAAATGATTTAAGTATGATTTAAAACCTTATCCAGTATCAGTACCTATATGTAAACACTGGTGAGGAGCATGGATAGTCCAGGAGAAAAATGTATTGGATGACATATAGCAGAAGACCTTTATAACAAGCTGAAGGAGGTACTTTTCAAGAAGTCAAAATGTAGCTGATGATGGTTTTCTCTCCTCCTCTAAAACAGAGTCTGTTAAATCAAGAAGAGGAAGAGGAAGATTTGATTTTTGATGTTGTAGTATCGTGTGCATTAACACAAGACCCTTTCTCAATGGCCATATAAGACTTATCTTCCGGTTCTCGTGATGCCACTGCCGGCTTTCTAAGAGCTTCACGTGGAACCTTTCGGCCCTGAAGTCAGTCAGGTCATGTGATTGTTTTGCGTTCGGCTCTAGGAACCCATTTGTGTGTTGTGACCCTCCACAGCACTGGTGCCAGTAGCAAACTTAGGGTGGTGACACTGAGAACCAGCAGGTACACCTGAGCAGAGAGAGACATAAAAACATTAACATTCAGAAATTATTTTTTAATAATATTTCATTAGATTTATGTTTTATATGACTTTTAGCCAATGTTGACCCCTCAAGTGCTTCACACAAGGCAGCAAATTAAAAATCAACAATAATAAAAGCAAATGAAAAAGACATAAAGTGGAGCAGAATAATACACACATACATTTTCATCACTGACCTCTCTAGAGATGATGCCAGCACGACGGGCACGGCTGCTCAAGACGAAGGAGAACTCGCTGACCTGAGCCAGACCAGCTGAGACAACCCACCGTATGTGTCGGGAACCTGGAGGCAGGATCGCCGACAGCACCAGTACAGCCATCATGAACTGGGAGAAAAGGAGGAGTAAAGTGGAGAGCGGAGGGAGTGAGTATGTGGCAAAGGTAAACTGGAGAAGGAAAAAAAAAAACAAAAAGGAGAGAAACGTGCTGTACCTTCATAATGACGAGCGTGAGCGTGAGCACCAGCAGAATGGTGAGTTCATAGAGCACGAATGTGGGGAACACGTGGAGACCTGCAGCACCACACAAACACACAAGATCAGTTAAGAACAAAGGTGCAACGTGATAATAAAACTGAGATCTGTATTGGATCTGACCGATAGAGGCGAAGAAGATGATGGCGAGGAAATCTCTGATTGGCTCGATGCATCCCATGACCTCCCCAGTAGCCATGTGACCCTGCGTGGACAGCAAAGCTCCAGCCAGGAAACAGCCCAGCTCCATGGAAACATAGAAAAACTCTGTCACCTGCAGTCAGAAAGAGAAAAATCCACAGCTTCTTCAGAGGATTTTAAATATTTGTAGAGAAGTGCGGGAAAGCACTGAACAAAAAAGATAGCTCTTCTTCTAAAAAATAAACGATTAAAAGCAACGTGCGTACCGTCAACATGAAAAAGACGAAGGCTGCCATTCCCAGCACCAGGATCTCCTTGTTGCCTTTGCTCTCAGCATGTAGTTTCTTGTAATACGGGCCAATCAGGAATGATTTTACTAACAAACACAGCAGCAGCACAGCAGCCAGAGAGACCAGGACCTGGGCCAGGAGGTATAACACGCGGAGACTTCCAAACAGGAAGCTGTGTTTCACAAAGGGAACAACAGATTTAAAAATATGCTGCGGGTGTTTGGTTGGAAGAGGACAAAAGAAAAAGACTTACTGACCTGCCCAAGTCTCCGCTCTGTGCCTGGATCATAGTCGGCATGACGGCGATGAAGAGACCGAGCTGAACATCTTGCATTACTAACATCCCGAGGAGAACGCTGCTGTAGTCCAGATCACCTATCTCGCACACACACACACACACTCACATTATTGACCATTGTCTACAGTGCTATTAATTCATGTACTAAAACAAAATGCTGCTTCTTCTGTATTTAGGCTTGTTGGATAATCACAGCTGCATACTAAGTGAAAGTAACAAGTTGACAAAGCTGTGTTCAATAGCCCCATGTCAGAATAAAGACTGTTTGTCACTATGGTGCACATCTTTGTTCATAGATGTACACAGACGTACATACCTACCTTCTTTGTCCCCTCTACTCCCCCCTGCTAGAAAGCGGGACACTAGTGGAGTGCTGGAAAGGGAGAGACAAGTGGAGATGAAGACAGTTTGGGTGGGTCGAATATGCAGGACTTGTCCCCACAACAAACCAGCCCCCACCATCAGCAGACTCAGGTAGCACGACCCCTGGACGGATGTCTTCCATACCTACACACACACACAGCAGGTATACATTGTTATCAACCTGCTATATGGAACGATTTACCAAAACATTCAAGTTTTTTCAGATAACTTTAAGTTAGAAAAATACAGATATTGGCCAATTTCCAGGTAAAGTAACATCAGAAAAAATTAGCAAAGAGCAACTACTGAGAAAAGCAGTAACAGATAGCAAAAATAAAAATTAAGTCCTTCATGAAAGTCTAAGTCAATATATTTCACATGTTTAGAAGACAATCTTGAGTGAAATGCCAAACAATATAATTAACCGCACAAAGTTGAAATATAAATTGAAAAATCTATTGAATTATTTTATTTAGTATAAATCTACCAAACAGCTGGTGTTTATTTCGTCATTAATGTATCAGGTAATAATTACGCAACTATATCATTATATACTGCCTTAAAATCTAACTTGGATTTTTAAATTCTAAGAGTTGAGAACAGTAATTCAGAGTGAATTATAGGTATTTAGTTGAGCATTACTCAGAAAACAAAAATTACATTTAGTTAATTAGTTAGTTAACAGTTTTGCAGATCCTTACTGATACGTCACAAATCTTGAGTCTAAGTCAAGTCTGAGGTCTTTTTAACTTGCTCACAAAACATGACATCAGTGCAAGTTTCCCGTATTACTTATAGTCTTACTGCTTGAAAAACAAACGTTGATGAAAATAGACATTACTGTACAATTCTGATTTAAATCTGTCTTGTTTACCTTTCGAAGGCGCTCAGGTGAGAACTCCAGTCCCACCACAAAGAGAGTAAAGAACACACCCAACTCCCCCAGAGTCTCCACCTGGACCATAGACTGCAGGACAGAGGGACATAAACAAGTAGCACGAAAAGTAAGTTGAGACTAGATTTTCTTTAAGTCTGATCCTACACACAGACACACAGATATACACACACACCTTGATGCTGTTGAGGCCAGAAGGACCGAGGAGGACGCCACAGATGATATATCCAAACATAGGAGGAAGACCAACGAGAGTGCAAATCCAACCACAGGGCAGGGACAACATCACCACCGACACCAAGTCCTGCAGGGTAAAACTTAATTGTATCAAATACTGGAGACTGCCCTACTTTAAGCATTATTCAAAACAAATGTGTTGAATGATTTCCACTCAAGTTAATTAAAGTCTGACCTTATTGGTTTTTTTACTTGGCCGAAACAACTTTTTTGTCCATAATATATTGTACATGTATATCTGTATCTATTCAGTAACGGTGGGTGGCTCTGATTTTACTCATTTCCTTGTGACTGCCTTTTTACTTTCCTGTACAAGTTTTAAAATAATGTGTTTATGAATGTCCTGCCCATAAGGCGCAATAACCTGGCAGTTCCAAAGTTTCTACTTCTTATGCAGCCTGGATAAAATGGGCTCATACCTGAGCGGGAGGAATAAACTGACCTTGATGAAGTGATGGTCTGCTCTGGGCATTGTGGAGTCTCGTGGTTTGGTCAGGACATACTGGTTGTTCTGCGAGTCAATGAGCATGCTCAGTCCCAGGTCATCCTCCACTTCCTTTTGGTGAGACTTGTTCTTCCTCTTCCCTCCATTCTCCTCGTCATCCTCAACCCTCAACACTGCCTCTACATTTACTCCTTTCATCTACACAACAGGGAATATGGAAGTGAGGCACAATTCGATGCTTTGTTGAACAAACAGGTGTACTTGCAACCACTTGATTGTTCAACTTGCTACCTGTTTGTTGTTGTCAAAGGCGTGCTCCTCGATCTCCTCCTCTAGCCGGTCTGCTGCCTTCCTGACATCCTCCAGGATCTCATCCAGCATGGACAGAGTCTTATTCTGGGCTAAAGCACTCTTAACAGCTTCCTGTTGGTGCTTCTCAGCAGCCACCAGCTCCACATACTCCTGTTCTTCCTGAAGGGTGAGAACACAACCCAACAGGATGTGTGTTGGTAAGTAGGTTGTACACACACATGTTAACAGGGATGTATGTGGCAGTTGACACACCCAGGAAAGTCTACATAGATTAAATACACTGATAAAACATAAAGAATGAGAAATTAAAATAATATTACACATTGGTGGGTGATATGATGGAAATCAATATCATACTTGTCTGATATTGTCATATGTCATAATATGACAAATGGGCCCAAAAATCAAACAAAACCAAGCCTCAGCAGTCAGTGCTTGGAAGGAGAGGGTGACGTGAGTGAGTTTTGCACTGCAACTACACATTTATTTATTAATCATTAAAATAGCTATTAAATGCAGCCCTATTCACTTTGTGTTTAAAAATGTTTTCAAAAGATTGTACAAATTTCTATGTACAACATAAAAACATTTTTCAGACATATTGCTCTCCTTCGTATCAGAAACACCAATCTTGGTTCCCTTTGACTGACTGAACTCTCTCAGCCCCGCTCTCCTGCACTCTGATGTAGTCTCCATGAAACACTGCTGACCACTGATCACCTTTATTGCCGCCTCCCTGAGGGCCTCCAGCCTCTGTCTGCTGCTCTCCTTCATGTTGACCACATCCCTGTAGTCTCCCTGCAGTGCCCTCTGCAGGCTGTGCACCGCCTGGAACACCAGGTGTTCGCTCTCATTCAGCTCCTTCTGGAAAACCTCCAGAGTGTGAACCTGAACGCGGACAGGGAGACAGCAATCAGACATTAAACAATACCTGACGTCCTCTTTTACTGAAGCCCATTTATATGGTCTTCATTTTGAAACACTAGACAAGAGCAGTTTACATGTCTCCCTCAGGGATTAGACATGACAAATAAGACAAAATATATCCAGATAACAAAGGTCAAAACAGAGAGATTCTCATTACCCTGAGAAAAATAATCCACTTGATTTGGCTTGAAATGCTTTATAGTGATTAAACAAGAAGATATTTAACCTGCCTAATGTCTGGCAATTATTTCATTAATTGACAATTAATAAACCATTTGCATTAATCACCAATGAAGCAAAAAAGACAAATATTCTCTTGTTCGAGCTCCTCCAATGAACAGGGATTTGCTCTTTTCTATGTTTTGTATCTTGTGTAAATTTTTCTAAAAGAAAATTGTAACAGGCATTTTTCACATTTTTAGATTGTTGATCTATCTAACCTAAAAAATAAATGACTGACTAAAGCATAACAAAAATAATTGTTAGTTGCAGCTTGAATCTAATCAGGTCATCTCCTCTCAAGTATGAAATATGAACATGTATTATTGTTGAGCTATTGTACAAGCAGGACACCACCCTGAAGAGTTGCAGATGATACATCTTGCACATTACGTACTGTACCAGGTGATAGGCTATAATCAATATACTTTAAATATATATAAAACAACAGTTACTGCAAATCTCTCCATTTTGCTCAATATAGAGGGCCATTGCTCCATCTGGTTTTTATTCTCAGTCTGGTACCTGGAAGTGCCTCTCGGGTTCCGAAAGGGCGCGGTCTCGTCCAACAGCATCAGCAGCGGCTGCCAGTTTCTTGACGACCACATTCTTCTGACGCAGGAGACCCACCAGTCGCTTGCAGTTGCTGGCCACCCAGCCATGACCGTGTATGGCCCCCTTGCTCCGATAAAGCTTGATGGCATGCTGGGCCACCTGGTCCTTCTGCAGTACAGCGAGTGCCCCTGCCGTGCCAAGGCACAGCAGCCAACATACAACCTGCATCCAAACCTCTACTTCTTTCTTCACCCGAGGGTGGAGACTGATAAAGAGAAAAAGACCTGGGAATGGATAGAGAAAGAGAAGGAACAATGACTGCAGGAAGGGCATGGCTGTTACAAAGATCAACAGAAAAACAACAACGAGGAGGAGAATACTACGATATATGAAATCAAAACGTTTGGAGTCGATATCAATATTTTATTCTTTTCTTATTATCAGCAAATCCCATGAAAAGAAATGTCTGTGTATTCAAAGACTGATAAATCTTATTCCTCTGTGCCATACGTCTCAATTGTTGTGCAAAAACAATTAAAAACATCAGTGAGCCACGCTGTTGCACTATGTGAACCGATACAGTTTCATGATGCCCTAAAAAAAATCCCTAGTTACTATAAATGCAAAAGAAAATAGGCCCTAACAAATGCACAATTTACTCCTGTTCAAATAATGTTTGCTAAAAACTGAAGTGACCAGAATTTATTTAGCTTTTCATTTAAAAAACAAAGTATAGACTGTGACTTGTTTTTTAAGAGGTCTGTGTCCTCAGAAGAAAATGTGGGCTTGGTGCTGGGGAAGTGCGAAAGTATTGAGAGGTGGACTTACACATTGTTTGTTTATGTCTTTTCATGGGATTTGTTGATAATAACAAAATTATAGAAATAAAGGAATTGCCAGTCATTCCCTTTAAAGCACAGATAGTGAGACAGTATTTATCCTAAAATATTATATAGATAATCCCTTTTAAAGTGGGCTACTCTGTGCACTCTGTGCTTCTTACTAAAGTCATCTCAAGAGACAAATTTAATCTTTAGCTGAAGAGCTTAAGCAGCAGCTGTGTGTACACACCTGTGGCCTGTCCTACTGACAGCTTTTAGTAGCTAATAGAACCTCGTCATGCCGTGTTACTTGACTTGACTGAGTAGGTCACCTGTATAAATTCCAGCAGTGCTTGCTATCCTTCCCACACCTAATGCTGCTAATTTTGCATTTCCATCTATGTTTGGAATACAGACAGAGCCTATTATGAAACTGCTTTACTGTCAACGACATGCCCTCTCCTACCCAGACACCATGCGCTTGCTTGCACATTAATACTTTATAATCCCAGCATAATGACAAAATGCATTCACACCCAAAAGCTGGACTGCACCTTTGTGAGCATGAGTCAAGCTGGGGGATGTTTACTCTCCGAACTGTTCCTCTGTCCTTCCTCCTGTGACTGGACTGCAGCCAATCTGCTGCTAGAAATCAATAGCACAGTAGCATTCATACACTGTTGGGTTGGATTAATCTATAATAATGTGTCATGTATCGCAAGCTTATAAGATTATAACATTGGTTATAGGTTATAAAATGGTTATTGAAAAGTAACCAGTTTTAAATGTACAAGTAACTCAGAACTGTAATTAAATACCACCACTGATGTGCAGTTAAATCTGGACTGGCTGCATGGATGCATGTACACAAAGTACAAATACAAACAGCTGAAACTAATTCTGCCATCCCTACAGTGAAAAATAATAATAAAAACAACATTACAGCCAAGAGTAGCATCATACAAAGCTGAACACACACACACACACACACACACAGGCCATGAATCATCTCAGACACACCAGTAAACACCATGGGGAACTGGTGAAACTATGAATTACTTTAATGTCCCAAACACAGAATCCCTTATTAATTCTGAGCAACATAAAGAAAAAGAAAAAGACTGCAACTACCTGTGAAATATGCGCACTGTCCCGGCTCTCAACTCCACTCCACGACTGAAGGAGAAGCTGAAGAAGGGAACAATCATGCTGTTGTACCGCACCACCACCACCGACACCCCTCCTCCCCTGCCACATAGCTGAAACCAGCGTCGATGCAGGCGTTCACCGATTTTACTTGGCGACCAACTTTCATGTTTACCTCGACCTCGACCTCCTCCTCCTCTTCTTCTTCTTCTTCTTCTTCTCCGCACCGTCGCTTACATTACTGGTGCTAGCGAGGGGATGCTAACGCTACTCCGTCCAGGTAGGTAAACGTTGCTATTAATGAATCCCAGCACGGGAAGTTGTGCCACTTGTTGTTTTTAAGCGTATATATACAGTTCAACCGGTTTTGTTTTTCTCCCCCCCCTCCTCTCCTCTCTCTTCTGTAAGTAAAGCTAAAGTTCAGCCCTCAGACCAGCTCCAGCCAGCTGAGTCCTCACACACACTCCCGTGACACAACGTAAGAGCTAACACAACTTCGCTAACATTAGCTCAAAAATAATAAAAGCTGTCGTTTAAATTAATATCAGTAACTTTTCTGTACATGGCTTCATAGACACATGTCGCAATACGACGCTGACATACTCTAAAAGCTACAATTGAACAACTGCTGCATTGTTTTCTTGATTTAATCGCGTCGATGTAACTTTGATCCTTTTATTTATTTATTTATTTTTTTTAAGATTACTTCCGAAACATCGTTATCAGCTTTGATATGGGAGTTGTAGTTTTTCAGGTGTTGTGTATCGTAGCTCGACCGTGTCAAGTGCACTCAAGTTGGGACAGCAGGTTCGTATGTTAAATTCACTTTTATAATTAAATTTCGTGTAAGGAAACAAACGAGGCAGCTTAAAACAAGTTCAAAGCTGAGTTTCATCGACTATAAACCTGTGATATGTTTGTGGTGGCAACACAAACAGTTTGATACAAAGTTATAATGTCAGCTTTACCTTTACGTATTTTTCCAGTAGAAGCACTTTAAGACAAATAAGTACATTATTTTTGTATCTATTAAAGCAGAAAACTATTAAGCCAAAGGTATTAAAAACACAGGGCCTGAAGGATTATAAGTGCCACAGAACTACATTTCCCATCAATCCAGTGCCCTTACAGTAGCGCAGTTCTTTTCACGCATGCGCACCAGGGGTAATTGGATATCAAGCGGGCCAAAACAGCGTGTGATAAAATGGTAGGTAAGATTAAAGATGAGAAACCGGGGCAATTCTTTAGCTCCGTTAAAACAAGTCCAAACCCCGGTACCGGCCGTCATTGACGTTCAGGGGACACACCGATATGTTGGATCGGGGTGTCCTCAACCCAAGTGTCGCATTGTCAGGGTGATGTGTGTCGGGAATATGAGGGAAATGGAAGGTCAGTTGTTGGTATTTTGAGATCGGACACCCGCACTTGCGGCACGTACCTTTCCCTTTTTGGTAACTCGCCTTTGCTGCTGCCCCGGGTCAGGAGAGCGCCTGCAGGATCAAACGTCCCCTCCCTAGGAAATCTGGGTCGCCAAACACTGGCCTGTCACGGTGAATTTGCTGTTTGATCATCGGGTGGGTTAGGTCTGCAGTTCTGCAAAGACGTGCAGTCCTCCCGATGACCGTGTAGATTAAATTAACCCTAGGAGGTATTTTTCTAAACTAACGGAACAGTGTGGTGGTGCATTTGGAAGTGTCGGTGTTTCCCCTCACTTGTACTAATACATAGGCTGTTGCACGCGTGGTATGAGTGTCACTTTTTTATTCTTTATTTTTTTAATTGTATGCAGGTGCACCAGTTCTTATAGCACGTGTTAAGTATAATCCACATCAAACTGTTTTTTTTTTTTATGTATAGATTGAGGACAGAAACTAGTTTCCAGACGGGATGTTTTTAATGGAAATCAAATCAGTGCAGTCTAATTCAAATGTTCATAAAGTTCAGGCTGTGAGCGCTCATGTCTCTGCATCCCATTTACCCAAGGCGAGATAAAGCGGGTGTCTGTCCCAGAACCCCAGACTGTCAGGGGGTCCTGAACGCCCCAGGTTGTGCGTATAGCAAGTGTTAATCCAGTATAGCCCTGACAGGTTAATCCAGCCCTGCGTTTACCTGTGTGCCTGCTTTGTTTACAGCACAAGTTGAAGTCATCGCAGAAGGACAAGGTTCGGCAGTTCATGTCCTTCACACAGGCCGGGGAGAGGACAGCCGTGTACTGCCTGACGCAGAATGACTGGAAACTAGAAGTTGCCACAGACAACTACTTCCAGAATCCAGACCTCTACTACAAAGAATCCATGAAAACCTCAGTGGACCGCAAGAAGCTGGAACAGCTCTACAACAGATACAAAGGCAAGTGTCAGAGAGTGACTTCGAAACTAGTGGTGATATCCGTACGCTCTGCTTTTTACCGTCTGTTGGCAATGTTTTGCTCACTCTTCTCGGCTATCTTCGCAGATCCCCAGGATGAGAATAAGATTGGCATTGATGGGATCCAGCAGTTCTGCGATGACCTGACCCTGGACCCAGCTAGCATGAGCATACTTGTGGTGGCGTGGAAGTTCAGGGCGGCCACGCAGTGCGAGTTCAGCAGGAAAGAGTTCCTGGATGGCATGGCCGAGCTAGGGTGAGCAATACTGACACAGAAACCTGCAACAGAGATGCTACTGCAGTCTTGGCACATTAATGACGGTGTGATTTTAAATAATGAAAAGTTGTTCTTTTTTTTGTATGTTCTGTTAAAGGTGAGTCCTACAAGAATAACAGGACCACAACATTTGTGTCACATACAAAACGTACATACTGTGTGCAGTTCACTACTCATAATAACAGGATGTTGGAAGGCTGATCTGTTTGTTTTTAACGTCTCTTCTAGCTGTGACAGTCCTGAAAAACTCAAAGCAATCCTTCCCAGACTAGAGCAGGAGCTGAAAGACACAGGGAAGTTCAAAGACTTCTACCAGTTTACCTTCAATTTTGCCAAGAACCCCGGACAGAAAGGTTTAGGTAAGCATAAGCACAAAACATTTAGAACATAAGTGGAAAGTTACAGCTTGTTTTTAAAGTTGCAGATTGGTTTTAACTTGGATTTATAAAAGAAATAATAAAATAAATGTAATAAAAGAATATTGAACTATCTTACTCTCTGTTGTGTCCTAGATTTAGAGATGGCTGTTGCTTACTGGAATCTAGTTCTCACAGGTCGCTTCAAGTTTTTGGACCTGTGGAACCGCTTCCTGCTGGTGAGAGAGGACACTGTTGTTACACCTGTTTTCACCCTTTTTATATTGTCTGTCGGCGTGATATTACAAAAAACATATGATTAGATTTCCAGAGATTTTAAATATTCTAGATTTTTATTTTGTCCATCTCATTTAAAACTATTAGAAAAAACGTACTGTAGAATTCGGTCAAATAGAACAAAACCACAAGTACATTCAACATGTTTTTGACACATTGTTAACAAATTTAACAAAGGTAGCATTTATTGTTCAGATTATGAAATATTTTGCAATGCACAGGGATCTCTAATATTGTAAGCACACTATAAGGTTTAACTTCCACTCTTTTCCTGTTACTGTGTTGCATTCAGGAGCATCACAAGCGCTCAATTCCCAAGGACACATGGAACCTCCTTCTGGACTTTGGCAATATGATTGCAGACGACATGTCAAACTATGATGAGGAAGGTGAGATTATTAAAGCCTCTTCAGGATAAAGGCTATTAATAACACAGTCCATACGTGTACACAGTACACACGATACAGTTGTGTGCTGATAATTCAGTCAGACACACCCTGATTAACTCTGACTCCAGCAAATGTCAGATCGAGGTCATACAACCCAGCATTAGACACTTTCAAAGTGACATTGACTCAAAATTTTGCTCGAAAAGTCTTCAATCAAGCTGTTGCATTAAATCTAACAACAGTAATAGTTCTAAAAATTAAGGTCCTTCCTCATCTTTTAATACTTTCTGTAGGATGCTGTTCAGTTTGTATGGCACACAGTAGGTTAGAATCCAGTCTGGCTACATTTCAGGCCAGCAGGGGGCACCTGTAAATGTTCCCCACCGTCACTGCTTTGATTAACAAAGTCTTTGTAATAGATTATGTTGAAATGTAACTAATAGTCAGTGTTTTCCTTCCTCCTCAGGGGCGTGGCCTGTCCTTATAGATGACTTTGTGGAGTTTGCTCGGCCGATTGTGACGGGGAATAAGCGCAACATGACATAGTGTTTGTCCCGGCGTCACGCAGTGGATGTAGTTTGTGTTTCTCCCAAATTTTCTTTTTTTGAATGAGGATTTTTATACAAATGAGCCAAAAAGAGACTACTTCTCAATAAGCCTGTCTGCAGCTTGTTCTTACAACTGCATAAAGATGCCTTGGCTGGCTGGGGAGTGACGTGGAACACCAGATCAGAGAGAAAAGCAGGAGGGGGAATCAACAGGACAGACAGTCCTTGTAATTGCAATATGGAAATGATGGGTACCCTAAAACTCGTCACTCATGGGCAAATCACCAGTGGGTGTGGCTTTGAACTGCTGCTGTAGACTTGGCTCACTAACCTGCACCCTTTGGCACAATGAGGAGGGACGGTAACGGTGAACCTTCAGCACACGCAGAGGATTAAGTTATAGATGCAGTAGGATGTGGCCTCTTACGTTGTCAATTGTGAATGGAACAGTCTGTTAAAATCTGCATGTTTTTTGTCAGCTAGTGTGACAGTGCCAAGGATGTTTTAGGAGGAAAAAAAGTAATCCACATTATTTTCACTGAGATTTGCGAATGTGTAGCTCTCTAACAATCACACTGAGAGCAGAGAGAAAGTGTAGCTTGGTCATTAGTGTGTGTGTGTGTGTGTGTGCGCGCGCGTGTGTGCGTGCGTGTGTGCGCGCGGATGAGAGTGTGTGTTTTGTGGGGGTTTAAACATATTGCCTCTTTTACAATACAATGCTAAATATTTTCATTTGGTTTTATTATAATTAGAAGTTAAGAAATTATGATTCACCTTAACTGAGCAACAGTGAGAAAAGTTCAGATCCACATTTTGTATTCACACTGAGAATTGGACAGAGCAGCATGCTTTTTTGAGCTCAGCACCAGCAGAATCACTGTTGTTACAGTTGTAAAATACTGTACCTATAGGAATAAGAATAGATTCAATTTTAGAAGAAAGAAAGAAAAACGTATATCTGAGAAAACAGGTAATGGCATTTATAATCATGATTAGTACATAAGAAGCATTTAGGATCATTTTTAAGGATGCTACTGCGTTACGCGTTTGGTTGACTTTAGTTTTGCGGTGTGTAAACTGCTGTACACAAAGAGAAACTGACTGGCACGTGGACTGTTTTATACTAACCGGGTGACAATGATTTGCCAAAACCACAAACTGCACTGATTTACCACTTTTTCTGTTGTAGGGTTTCTTTACCAGGCAGCACTGCATACAGCTACTGAGTTTACATGACGTTCACTTGCATACCAGACTTTTTTTAAATGAACATCTACATCCCAGCCAGGAGTCTTTTTATTGTCCGTTTACACTGTTTGAGGTTTTAGTCTGTTGCTTTTTATGGAGTAGCAACTGTAGGGCAAGGGTGGCATGTTCAAAGTACCGTAGAACTATCGCAGTGAAAAGTGAGAGGCACTGCTTGCGCTGCCATCTAGGGGTGGCTGTGCAGCATTTCTTAATGTACCTTCATCCAATGCTACATCACAGCTGGATGTGGTCACAAGTATATGAAAACTGAGCAAACCCAGCTGTAAGGATCAATTTGGTCAGAACACTTGAGCCTTTTAAGCCATGGGGGGTGAATGCAGCAGTGCTTTTAGTGTTACTCTTGTATGTAATTATAAACACTAAACAAACTCTATTTGCTAAATGCAGCCCCTTTTTCTGCTAAAGAGTGTGACAGAAGGTAGAGCTCAGGTACCAGTCATCCTCTCCCAGTCACAGTGAGCAGCAGGTGGCTTCCTGTACTTATGTTAGTATTCGCCATGCTTTCTGTTCTAAACGGCAAAAGCATAATGCTGTCTGGTTCTGTCAGTTGTCACTATGATAAAGCCTTTGCCATGTGTTGAAATAAGGCTGTATTATTTCCCCCCGCATCAAACTTCTCTGTCCTGTCACCATCTAACTACAGGGGAATAATTGCCTTTGTTTTCCTTAAGTTGACAAACTTGTGTTTGAGTTCTCATATTTATGTAAACAGAAAGTCAGTCATAAACTGTGGTGCTGTGCAGGAGGCTTACTTTAAGAGGCAGATAAGGAAGGGAAAGTTACTACGATTTCAGTCCCAGATTGAAATGCAGATGAGTGGCAAATAAAACCAGCTTCATCGTGACTGTTAAACAGTCACTGTAGGAGCTGTTACATGTGTCATATTGTTCATCTACGTAAATAAGCAAGTTAGATGTGTGTTGGTGCAATGAAATATCCCATATAAAGTGTTTCTGACTATTGCAACAGCGAGATGCTGTGGAAGCTTTCCCCAGTTGATTGTTGTTGATCTGACATCGTCTGTCTGGAGAAAGAAAATGTGACATCTCTTCAGTATTTAGTTTGATAATATGGTACATTTGGTACGTTTTTATTTGTCAAATGAGTGGTCAACTGTTTCTAGTCATGCAGATCATTCTTATCAAAACAGTATTATTTTAGCTGACAATAAAACAGGTATTTACAGAATATTATGTTTTGTCACACAAGCATACCGGACATTGTTTTCTTTGAGGAAGTTGTCAATAAAGCATGTTGTTTTTAACTGTCTTGTGAAATGTGTACTTCTGTCAGTAAAGTACTTATTTTGTTGTCAGAAGCAAAGTGACCTGTTACTTGGTTTAAGTTGATATTGAATTGTGTTGAAATGAGTATCCCCATGTTAATATTTTGCTGAAATCAATATGAATCACAACATGGAAAATGTTTGCAAAACTGCCGCTTAAATATATAACTTGATATTCAGTGCATCAACATGTGTTATGCATTTTATCAAACTTGACTGAAACAAACTATAGCAACAAATTGTTACTTTTAATTTAAAACTTCTTTTAACATGTAATATGGATTGGATAACAGTATTTTGTAAAGCTAGAGCAATGCAGAGAAACCCCTGCCCTACAGTGTGTGTTTGAGAGTGTATGTAAAATGTCAGCTTGGTAACAGTTGTCCCTTATCAGGTTGCATTCCTGCTGCATATCCTCATCATCATTGGCTCTTCTGGTAAGGCTTTGTCTACTGTTACTCTACTGGTTATGTTTAGGGCTACATTCACCAACAGATAAATGGAAAAAAATGAAAGGTGTATAAAGGGCTGGGAATAACAGATTGAAGTAAGTAGCTTGACTGAAAGGTATTAGTTGTCAAGGTATTAGATGAAGATATGGACTATAGAAACTCAGGATGATTAATAAATCAGTTTAAAATAATGACATAAGGATTAGAGAGTTGGACTGAAACAAAGGAGGAGGCCGGCTAATGGTGTGGCGGGCATCAGTTGGGGTGATGCTCCATTCTTACCCTTCTCCCATGGGACGGCTGGGATGTCAACAAGGTCCAGCACCAGCTGACAAGCTTGCACTTCGCCCCAGCAGCACATTAGCATCTCTTCCAGTGCGTCCAGCCCCCTTCCCCACTCCACACCCAGCCATCCAGCTCTTAGGCTTGGGGGCCACAGGGATTGCCTTTTTAGGAGACACCTGATCACAGCTGAACTCGCCGCCGCCCAACACAAAGAAACTGTGGCTGATAACGTGATGCTTTCGTGTGTGTGTGTGTGTGTGTGTGTGCGCGCGCCCGCCCCAACCATAGGTATTGAGACAACTGATGAGAAACTAGAAGAGAGCTCTGAGGGTGAGGAGGTGGTAGAGCTATTATGTAGCGGGGACAGAGGTCTTACCAGAATTGTGAGAGTTCTTCAGGATGTTTAGGGGCGAAAGAGTTTGAGTCTGTTTCCATTGTTCTATTATAATGAATCTGTTGAGGTGGTGAAGAAGACCTACAGCTGAAATTGTTTGTGCCAGGAGCCGTTTCAATCCCAGGAGAAGTGTGCCGGCCTCAGTCAAGAGAACATCTTTTTTTCCGCGATTAGCTGGGTGAGCGGACGTAAGCAGAGGCCAGTATCATGGAAAAATTTAAGGCAGCCATGGTTCTAGGTGCTGTTGGTGATGCCTTGGGCTACAGAAAGGGTCGTTGGGAAGGATGCACCTCAGGCAAGAAGATCCAAGAGGAACTGGCCTCTCTGGGGGGACTCGGGGCCCAGAAACTGGACCCAGATAACTGGCCCCTGAGTGATGCAACGCTGATGCACATGACCACAGCAGAAGCACTTATAACAGGTATGTTTAGGGTTGATGTAGAAGAATGACAAAGAGGGTTTATGATTATCTGTTTTGTGTCTTTCTCCTATTTTAAAATGTCAAATATGAAATCAATACTTCAGAGATCTATCATCATATCTCCACATAAAACCAAAAACTTTTTTCTCTTTATCTGTTCAATAATATATAGACAAAACATCAGACCTGTCCAGCCGTGCTCTCGATCTTTAGATAGAGGGACCAAAATAGCTTGTTGTATACAGTCAATGGAAGCTGCTAATCACTTACTGGCAGACCACTTCTGAATGACAAAACCTGCTGACATGCCATAATCCATCCTTACAGCCGGCCATCAAAGACAAAATCTCGGTAGAAACCTCATTACGAATGCCGTCACTCAAATGTCATCTCAAGCCCCCACAGGGTGGCCAGGAGTTGCTGGGACAGAAAAGTTCAAAATAGACTACTTTGTAAAAGCTGATCCTCAGCTTTCCTTTGCTGAACAAAAGCAGACTCCTCCGTAATCTGCTGGTATCATGTTTGGCTGCAGATGCAGTTCAAAGCCAATGACAGCGGTCCTGTGAAATGGTGATGACCTCTTTTGAGATTACAAAGCTCTATTTAGCCACAATGCTTGGCCTGCACGCATATACACATGCTTAATTTGGCTCCATTGTTAAAAGGCATTTCTAGTAGCCCACTTATGAGTCATTAAAGAGGCTTATTCAATGTATTTTACATTCTTATCTGAAGCAGAGGACAAAGAACACATCTCTGTAACAGAATCTGAACCAAAGCCCAGTGAAGAGGGTCAAGTTCCCTGTCTTTCATCAAAGTCCTGCATCACTAAATTAGAGGTGATGCTTCTTTGTCAACATCCTCTCTCTCTCTCTCTCTCTCTCTCTCTCTCTCTCTCTCTCTCTCTCTCTCTCTCTCTCTCTCTCTCTCACACACACACACACACACACACACACTCTCTCACACTCTCTCACACACACACTATACACACATAAACAAATTCTAGCAGGATGGCTGCGGGCTCCACTCGAGGATCCCAGTTGACCTCGTGGTGTGTGGAAGAGACTCCCCTCTCTCCACAGGCATGCTGGTCCTAATCTGTGGTGTAGCAGGCTGAGGCTAAACTTAGCCCACCGCAGCACCACTCATCTTGCCTTGCATGCCAATCATGAATGACTCTCAGTCACTATGTGTATGTGTGTGTGTCCAGATTACTGGTGTCTGGAGGACCTGTACCGGGAGCTGGTGCGTCTCTATGTTGAAGCCATGGTGTCTCTCCAGGGCAGAGCCCCCGATCCTGCCACAGTGGAGGGCTGTGTTCACCTCAAACCTCACAACTTCCTGCTCGCCTGGCATACACCCTTCAATGAAAAAGGCCGGTGGAGATTTTAGATACTGTTCCTTTTTCATTTTAAGAGTCCATCATAAGAGAAGTATATGAAAATGGGTGTGTCTATGTCCAGGATCTGGGTTCGGGGCAGCCGCCAAGGCCATGTGTGTGGGTATGAGATACTGGCAACCAGAGAGACTAGACAACCTGGTGGAGGTCAGCATTGAGATTGGCAGAATGACCCACAACCACCCCACAGGTGACAATGTTGGCAGTTTCTAACATAACCAAAGAAATTACTACAGAAACTACAGGATGCTTATTGTGTCGCAGATAAACTAACCCTTACATCTGTAATCACATAGTAGTGACTTGTGGTGTAACTCTTGGCTTCAGGCTTCCTAGGCTCCCTGACAACAGCGCTGTTCGCATCATATGCGATCCAAGGGAAACCTCTTGTGACATGGGGCCGCGAGCTCATGAAGGTCATCCCTAGGGCTGAGGAGTACTGCAGGAAGACCATACGACACATGGCAGGTTAGACTGTGTTTGTGTCAGTGTGCAGACATTAGTTCATTGATCCAGGTTAACTGAAATTTCTGTGTAAAAAAACAAAACAAAAAGAGCAATTTCAATATATGTTTGACAGTATATATATAGTAATTTCCTGAGTTCGGTATGCCCATGTGTCGGAGAAAACATGACTGTCAGCTGATACCAGTAATGTGTGTGATTATGCATTCCTGTGCAGAGTATCAGGAAAACTGGTTCTACTTTGAGGCCAAGTGGCAGTTTTACTTGGAAGAGAGGGAGATAGAGAAGGAAGGGCAGAACAAACCATCGTTCCCTGATCGCTATGATGCTGAGGAGACAGACAAGGTAAATGCTGGCTCTGTCACACAAAAAAGAAATACACACATAAATAAAAGCATACCTTAAGGTTTTTACATCAACAGAACTCCTAACAGGAACAGTGTGCTGCTGTTACTTTCTCCACAGCTGTATAAGCGCTGGAGTTCAGAAGGCCGTGCAGGTCGGAGAGGTCACGATGCCCCCATGATAGCCTACGATGCCCTTCTGTCAGCAGGGGGCGACTGGGCTGAACTGTGCAAACGAGCCATGTTTCACGGAGGTGAGGATCACAGCATTCTGCACCTGCAAGACACATTAAACACATACAGATAAACATACATACAGCCTGCTCACCATGACTTCTGTGAAAATACTGGTTTTATTTTAGGTGAGAGTGAAGCCACAGGCCTGATCGCGGGTTGTCTTTATGGCCTCATGCATGGCCTGAGCCAGGTTCCCGCAGGACTGTACCAGGATCTGGACAAAAGAGAGCGCCTGGAGGAGTTGGGAGAAGCGCTACACAGAGCAGCGTCTTCAGAGAAGTGCATAGACAAGTAATCCTGCTCTTCACAGGCCTGAACCCTTCTGGCTGCCAGAGGAACTGCAAATGACTGTAAAACTGCTTCCCTTATCCCACACTAGCTTCTAGTCCTCCTTGCTAGCATTTCAATAGTCTTGAGGGGCATCCTATCCTCTCCTCACCTCTCTTGCCCTCCCCTCCTTGATTTAGATATCCACAGATCTGTCATGAATTGGAAAATTTAAAGCACCTGTGACTGTAGGTGTGAGGCAGAGGGACATCAAAAGGGAGACAATTTAGGTCATTGAGTTTCGGCCTTTGACTAAGACTGTGGTATAGTTAACTTTTCTTAAAATTAACAATCAAAAGATAATTACCTTCTCTGACCTTTTCCTTTTCTAAAGCTAACCTGGATTAACATAAAGCACATGGTTATGTTGTGTCATAAAGAAATGTAATTGATCAAAATCAGCATAAAACATTGTACGAACTTTTGATAAAGCCTACTGATACGTCTCTCTCTACAGCAAACTTGATTTACCTTGGCTTTTTAATGCATGTAACATGTGGTGAAGATTGTGAGATGATTTTAACTTTTATGCATAACATTAATGAGTTGTAGAATAGTTATATACTGTGATCATTTATTATTTGCACTGTGATGCTCTTCAGGTATAGTGTACTGTGAGAGCCCCATTACATGGTGAATATTAATAAGATATGAACATTAAAATGGACTCGGATATACATCACGCATGAAGTGCCTGTCTCTCTTTATCTTAACTACAACATTTATTTGATGGACAGCTTGTCTCCTATCTTAATTTTCTCCCAGATTTCTTCTTGTTGCTACACAACCCTCCTCTACAATCCCCTGAACTAATCACCTGTAACAAGTTCACACTGCGAGTACACCTCATTTCAGGTCTGAACATTTTACCTCTTCTACTTTGCTGCAGGGGTGGGATGGCTACTGGTATATCCAGTTCAAGTAGAAGCACTGTTTATTGACGCAAATATCACTCGAGTAGAAGATTAATAAGAGAAAGTAGTCTTCTTTGGAGATTACTCTGATTAGTTTCATATTGTCACAGTGAGAGCTCAAATTCACTGCCCTCCAAAAACTAATCCATGTGATGCTCATTTCTCAGAGATTGGCTGACGTGGGTTAAAAGAGATTTAAAGATAACCTTAATGTAATGTTCAACCATTTATGCTGTAATGGGTGTACTGAAGCAAGCGTTATCCTGTAAGTATTCTTCATGGTGGTGCTATCTATCAGTCAAAAAAAAAAAAAAGAGTAGTAACATTTTTCATCTTTACAACTGCATGAAAAACACAAATTTAGCACCATATTTTGGAACGATTATGATGGAGTGCCATTATTTACAGTAAGCCCTGTTTAGACTACATTTCCTAAAGTAGAGTGCAATATTTGCTATCTATCTACAAACATGAAAAAGTTACTCCAGGGTTTGGGTACAACTTCTTTGCCTAAAGCCAGACATTTTGTACAATTATTTAGTTCTGCTAATAGTCTAGGTGGGAAATGTAGTTTCAAGTGCAGAACACACAACATCGACTACCCGTGGGAAAAAAGTTACAATAATGACAGCCTTTGTAATTAGTGACCATCCTTTCTGACATATAACTCACAATTATGCATCCAGCAGTGCCACTATTTTCACGCAATAGTAAATGTAATAATTTGCCAGTCATGCTTCAACTCTGCTGTCAATATCCGTTACAATTTAGGTATGCTTAGCTGTAGATGGCTACACGATTAAGTTTTGCATGTCCTCTATTCTCCATAGACCAGATTCTGGGAAAACCAGTATCAGCCCTGATGCCGGTATGTTGAGGAAGTTGGTTAGAGACCGCAACTGCCGCCCTGTGCTCCGAGGGATTCTGGAGAGTCTCCTGCGTTACCTAACACAAGATCTGCCCAAGTGGACCAGCAGAAACAAAAGCCCAGAGAAGCCAGGGTCAGATTTTGTAGACTTTGAAAAGCAGACTCACATTCAGACTGCTCAGCTCCCTAAAGAACAGAAAATGACCCAGGGAATAACTACTGAGACCAGACCCAAGATCCCTAAAAAATGCTGGTCAGATCCACAAAACGACAGATTGCCCAGAAGGCATGGAGGGGATCAAAGGGATGAAGGCTTAATAACCCGGCGCCTTACCACATTCCAGCTCCTCCAATCCAAATTCATAAGATCTAACCCCAAACCTCCCATCACCCACCAAAGGGAGGTAGGAACTCTGTCCTCCAGAGGACTGGCAGGTGATGTGAACCACTGCCAAGACAGTGAGCAAGACATGCACAAAAAGGTCAAGACCAGACGAGAAACAGGACCCAAGAGGGGGGGCAGTGTGAAAGATATTGTCAACAAATTTGCCATGGCTGAGCAAAAGGAAAAGGGACAGAACATGCTGAACAAACAGCCAGTCAAACCAAGACTCATCGGAAGAGGGCTCCTCCTATCTACCTTGATGGAGAGGTTTGAGACCATGGCCGCTGTATGTAAGGGGAGGGACTTGAAAAGTTCACATGAAATGCCCTCTGGAGGAGTCAAGATGACAAGTAATATAAAACAGAGGGTAGCTTGTCTTGACAGATGCCATCAACAGGTGGAGGCTCAAGCTGTTCACAGACAAAACCAACACAAGCACATGAAAAGTAAATCTGTTGCACAACAGTTGAAAGGAAATCAAACTACCGCTGGGCAAGAACAAAGACCAGAGCAGGCGGTGAACGTTTTAACAGAAATAAACTCAAACTTGGAAGAAAAAATCTGTTTGAAAGCAGAGGAAGAGAGGCAAATGGGGGGCCGGGATTCAGATCAAACAGCTGAAGGCCATTGTTCATTGAAGCATACAAAAGGTCGAGCTTATGATAACGATGTTCAGGGCTGGACATCAGGTGAAATTCAGACTACAGCAGAAGAAACCAGTATCACGAACAAGTTAAAATATGGACATCTAGAGCTAGTCTGTTTAACATCTGTCACCGAGAGCTCGCTCCCAGAACCTTGCAGGCTTATTCCACAGGTAGAAGCCCAAGTGAACTGGCATGTGGCAACCATCATGACCTGCTCTCCAGTGTGGTCCACATGTGTAGATTCCTCTCCTAAACAATATTCAGTGGAACTATCAGAAAGTTCACATTGGGAAAAGATACCTAACTTGAAGACGGAAGTTCCTCACAGAGCCCTAAAACACACTCACAGGGACTCACTCACAGGTAAACACAGTGAAGTGAGATTCTCTTTAAAGCCCAAACCCAAGGGGCTGTCTACATATACAGACCGCAACCCCATGGAGAACGGAGCAGTGGATGATCCGAATCCAACCAAAGCTGTGACCATTCAAACAAAGTTGCCCAAGTATGTAATCCCACGTGTTTACAGATTGGATTACCAACAAGATGTTGATGACCAGATTGATTCCTCCCTTCAATCAGCACCGCACCCAGAAACTCCTTCAGTTGCAAGGCCCTCACCATACTCTGATACTTCTATGACTGCTTTTAAGACAGGATTGGTGACAATGGGAACATTTCAGGACATTAACCTTTGTCCTCCTAATAACACGAAGATACAAACCCACCATATAGTAACAAAAAACAAACCACAAGATGAAGATGTAGAGGCAAAAGAGGAAGTAACACTAGTGGACACAACAGATTCTAGTGCACTGCAAAGTTTCAGACTTTCTGAAGACACTGCCAACAACGTTGCATTAGAAGACAGCAAAACCTCTTTTGTAACATCACATAAGATTCAAACTGAGAGGGACAATCCAAAACAGAGACCAAAGTACACAACAATCAACTATGGGGATCCTTCAGTCAAAGAAACATATAAACCCAAAACCATACGATTTACTGATACTTTTACTTTCTAGGTTGGAGCTATTACAGTGATCATAGAACTAGAATCAGCATTTACTTCTTTCCACTGAAACTGTACAAGGAATTTACAATTAAAGATTTCAGTTCCTTTATACATCAGCAACACACAGTAATTACAAAATTACACCAACAAAAGCAACAACAAGCAATGATAGTGTTTTTATTAAGTACACGTATAAGGATAAGAAATAAAAACCCCTACTGATAGTCCTCTTGAATATTTTGTTATAGCACTGATAACCTCCAAATGACCTACAACTGTTACACTGGTCGTCCAGACCTTATCAAGGTTGAATTGTTGCAACGTGCAATGTGTAACACTTGAAATGGTTCCTTACGGTTACCACAGTAGGCTGCCATGGGTGGAGCATAAGCATTTTACAATGCACAAGCATTATTGCTGCATAATCTGGTATAAAGACAGGGTATTAGAAGGCTAGTTTGACCTTTACATTTTGAAAGTTTATTATAATTTAAATCAATATATGTCAATCCATCTATACATATTCTGCCACTCATATGGGGCTGTGTTGCAGTGGCCACATGCTAAACAAGGAAGTCCAGACATCCTTCTTCCCAGCAGAGTTTTCCAGCTCCTGGTGGGAGATCCAGAGGTGTACCCAAGCCAGATGATTTCATTGTAAGGTGCACGCTGCTCAAGTTTGACTGTCTATCAAGAAACAGCACAGTATTTAATGTAGCTTGCTCATGTTTTTAAATAAACTTCTTAAAAATGATAGTAACACTATTCATGCTGCCTAATTTATTCATTCACTATGCTCAAATGAATGAAAACAATTTTTAATATGATTTCTGACGAGGAAGGAAAAATATAATTTTCATTATCTACCACATTGATGAACACATGAACATTAGAAAGACTAGTTGGAGTTAGACATTAAGATAACATTGTCTATCTGTAAAACAGTGCCTAGTACAATTGTTTTTTCTAAAAGGTAACTGATTATTAACAGATGAATGGCTGCACACAGCACTGCCAAACATGTCAGTGGCTGGAAAGCTCACAGATCCAACAACGCCCACCAGCAGGATTACACTACTGCTCTCAAACATGAGTGTGCGTTTGCACTTACTCTGGTATTTTCCCAAGAGGATCAGACACAGAGGCCTACATGATCCATCATCTGTCCATCCATGGCTTATCCGAATAGGCAGTGGTGATGAGGGTGTGGTGTTGTTATTGAGTGTTAGTGTATGTAGGACAGAAATGCTTAAATCAAATTTGAAGTAATTTGATTTAGGTCAGGCTAAGCATGACTTTCTACAAATGTGGTGAATTTCTGTGCACTTGCATTCTGTTAATATTGGTTAAACAACATTCAACCCAGTCATATACACACACCCACATGACTGTCTGTCCAGTGACTCTAAAACGTGCCACATCAAACAGTACTTTTTACGTTTAAAAAGTGTCCATTAAAGTTACACTAACCACATTTCTATCCCCACATGGTTTAAACTTTTTTTTCAACTCTGGAAAATAAGAAACTACAACAAGGATAGCCACCAAAAAGCTGTCTGTCATTTTGCAACAGTCCTTCCTGGAAGTGGGTGACAGCGTTGGGACAGCGTCTGAGACTCTGCTCCAGATTCTCTCATTAGCACATAATCAAATTCACATCTGGTGACTTGATGTAAGGTTTGCGTCATTTTGATACTCATCACCTTTTCCAGTAAGAGCAAGGTTTTCCACTCTTACTTGTGCAGGACTTTGAAGTCATTATAGTTTTTTCTTTTAAAATATTAACATACGCTCATTAAAAAAATGTCATTGAATGCTTCCCTGAGGATGTGAACGTGTGCTTCTGCTGGGACAGAAAGAGATAAGGTAGGCTGTTGAATTTGAGTGAAATATTTTTGAGTTTCTCCATTTATTTTCATAAACCTCCCTCTTATTTTCTTTTTATCCATCATATCTGCAAACATCAAATGATTTTCAAAGACTGCAGGAAGCCTGGAATCACCCATGCAGCAGATATGTTTGAATCCAGGTGTATATTTAGTGGAGCACTGCTGCCCAGCAGAGGATGGCTCTATTTACCTGTGCTACGTGGCGGTGCTGGAGAGGGCGCGGCTACTTACCATTTGCTGCTGCCTTTAGTTGTTATCGGACATATTAACACCGTTAAATGCATCCTAGGGATTTTATGATCAGGGAGTTGCCGATGTTCAGACAGACATGTTGTAGGCTAGGTCTGTGTCTACTGTTGACATTAATGTGATATGTTATATGACAAATGGAAAGCGGATAAGTAAGAGAGTTTTAACACTTCATTAAAAAAACAGTGGTTACTAGTTACAATTTGGCATATATGTTAAAGGAGATATAACTGCAAAAATGAGCAAGGTTTAATTTGAACGGAATAACTCTAAAATATTTTCTTTCTACCACTGCAGCTCCACTTTTTTTTTTTTTTCCCCCTAACCAAAGCCCCGTGAATGCGACATAAGTCACATTTAGCCATCCCATGAGAGCTCTGAAGTAGGATGTTACGGGAATCACTCGAAAGCAGCATTAGGGTCTGATTGACGACGTGTGTGTCCTGGGACAACGTCACGAGTCCGAAATCCTCCTCCGGAGTGGCCCGCAGTCCGGACAAGAGGAGTGGGAAGTGACTTGTATTTTGGATCATAATTTTGGGAAGCATTCATCTTGTCGTTATGTTTGGGTTTTTTTTATTAGAGCCACGGTCCAGTTGGCGAGTTGGAGAGTGAGAGAGGAGGGAGGCGAGGGGGGGGGACCAGCAGCAGGTGCATGTGGATGGCGATAAAAGTCAAAAGGAAACTCCCCACACGGTTTGCACATCGGTGGATCGATAAAATACTTGACGAATAGCAACTAGAACGACTTCTTGGCTCGGGGGGAAGCGTAAGAATGGGTTCCCCTGCTTTCCCCACTCCAGAATAGCATGTTAATCCCAGGAGAAAGCCGCGTCTTGTCCCGTCTCTCCGCACGCAAACATGGAGAAAGTTAACAGTGAACCTTATCGCTAACTTACCTCAACCTAAACGGGGACTTTCGACACTCAGGCTCGCTGTAAACTTTTTTTTTTTTTTGGGTTGTGGGGAGAAACACAGCAGTGGATGCATACACAGCAGTGAGTCTCCGAGCACAGATTTTTAAGGATATCACCGGGGCAATGGAGAAGAAGAACCAGGCGATCAACCGGACCCGCTCCCCGGCCGATGATGATGGTAGAGCCAAAGACAGAGTGGGCAGGTAACGTTAGCCAACAACGTTGGGCTTCAACGGTTAACTCGGCTCTGCTAAAACGTTTTTAAAACCATATCTTATCGATATGAAGAGGGCGAGAGTAGTTGAGTGACTTACCTGATAAAGTAAATCCAGAAGCAGCTGATTTATTTCCAATTTGTGGAAACATGGAAGTAGTAACGTTAACTAACTTTAAACAGTTACTAGAGTGATTTAGCTTACAAGCTAACTTAACGGCTGCTGGTACAAAACTTCGTTATTAACGTCAATCAAACGACATATCGCGATAACTGCTGCTCATTTATAGTTTTCTGTCTCCAATTTCACTTGTAATGCAATGTGAAATTTGTAGGAATAATGAAAAGCTCTTGTACTCTGCTATACTCTAGGCTCTGTGTCCCATATGTCTCTTGAATAAACTTATACAATGATTTACAAAGTGATATATATATTATATATATTTCTTTCTGCAGGAGGTGTGCAGCCTGCTGATGTTATATAGGTTTTTTTTGTTCATTAGGAATTTGGCCAATTTCTGTCATCACATGATGGCTCAAATAAAAGTTCAGTGGATGGTAGGTTTATTGGTACACTTAGGTAAAATGAATGCAGTCTGGTGCAAATGTTTTAAGAGAGGGGTTGATTGAACTTGAACTACTTGGAGTCTGTAGTTTGTGGATCTGTTGAGGTGATTTTTAATATTAATTTGTACACACCGTGTATATCAATGATGGATGACTAAATATTAGAGTCGCAGGCTCCAAAATGACAATAAAGTTGAATAAACACTGCTCTTACACAACAAAACTCAACAACTGAATATTACGACCTTCTTGAGGGTAGGATGGTGTACGTAAAAACTGGCAACTGAGCATATATTGGACTTGAGTAGACTTGCACTCATACTCCAGTGTTAAAGGGGAAAAAAAGATAACCAAAACCAACATGTTAAATCATGTGCCACAGTCACAAACTCCACACTGATACATCTAATGTGTGCCCTTTTGTTTTGGCAACAAGACAGATACCATAATGTTTGCATAATGATACCTTTATTTTCACACCGCGTTTGCAGAGCCTGTGTAGTGTATATACTACAGTAGGAAAGTTGTGCATGTTGAAAACCGATGTGGGAGCCTACCACATTGCTGGTCTGTAGGTGCCTTTCTTCTTCAGTGGTGACCTTGCTCTTGTGAAAGGGTTAAGCTGAAGGGAGATTATCGTGTTACCTAACGCATTAGGGTTGAGCCACCAACACCCACAACTATTTCATTTATGGCCAGATAGTGGACGTATATAATGTTGACACACATGCTATATAAGGAATATGAATATACATTAACAAAATATAAGCATTACACTTTCTTTTATGCTGTAATGGCTCTATCCAATAGTTATGCCTGAACTAAGTAGAGATGAGGAGGCCTAAATGCTACAAACACTAGCAGCTGTCTTTCCCCCAAATACAATAAATAACATCATAGTACAGAAGAAAAAGCACACACACACACACACATACACACACACACACACACACACACACCAGCATACATACACAAGTGTTCAGGTTCACCTGATTCTGTTCATATTAATTTGTTCAATAAGAGGTTTACAATGCTATGATATTAAAGCTTTGGTAATTCTGATGATGATTGTGATTTACTGGCTGAACACAATCTTTTGATGTGTTTTTAACAGTTTCTAACAGTTTCTAACTTTGTGCATTTTGACCCAGCGTGGATCCATATGGTTTTGAGCGCTCAGAGGACTTTGATTATGAATCACATGAGGAGCTAATGTCCGAGTATCTAGTTGTGCTCACCCGACGATGCATCAAGTGGTCCAAACTCCTGAAGGGAAAAAGCAAAGTGCAGAAGAATGTAAAATGTGAGTGTGAAAACTGAACACACCAGTATCCTCACAGAGTGGGTGCATGCAATAAAACTGAACTCAATGTTCTCCCTCTCCTTCAGTAAAGCGTTACGTACGTAAGGGGATTCCTAATGAGCACCGGGCTCTGGTCTGGATGTCAGCCAGTGGGGCTCAAGACCAGCTAGAGAAGAACCCAGGATACTTCCAGTCCCTGCTCGGAGCCCAGCACGACCCCAAACTGGTGGAGACCATCTGCACAGGTCAGGCTGTGAACAGTTTCTTATTCACCCACATGTTCGCTCAGATCTCCTTTAAAAACCGGATACACAACAAGCCAACCTCAAAGAACCAGTACTTACAGTTCATCGCCGTATGTGTTCTCTATCTAACCCACGATCGGGGGAAATAACTGTCTAATCCAAAGATCATCATTTGTGTACAAAACAACTTAGCCAGTTACTTTATGTAAATGTGAATTTAATTTTAAATTAAATTAAATTATCATTATACAGTTTTGGAATACAAAATAAGAATATATCTGATTAAAAAGTTTGATTTGGCACTGTAAAGTTTTGTTTTACAGGGGGATTGTCATCATGTGGTCAGACGAAAAAATAAGGGAAACCTGCACTAAATGAGTAAATGAACAGGTTTTGTTTGAACACAGAGTCAGACAGTCCTGTTACTGTTTGCCCTTGAGGCTGATTCATCATGCTGATTTGGCTGAATGGTTGCTGATTAATGCTGACTATAGCCAACTGTGCCAGACGCACTGCAAAACCTGCAGGCAACAGTCAGCCACACAGGGCACAATGATGCCCAACAGTTGGGTGTGTCAGAGCCCTTACGTAGAATATTTTAGTGTTCAGTGTGACCTACAGAATGTCATCACAGTATGGCTTTGTGAATTAGTGAGACTGCTCTTCAATCAGTCCCGGCATTGAGACAGAAAACGGCACTGCATTAAAAGAACTCAATAAGCTGCATTGGTTGGGGTGTGTTGTTTCAGGCCACGAAGCCCAGGGAGTCCTCAGAGTTACTGTATTATTATTTAATACTTGGATTTTAGTTATCAAAAATGTTAAATGACTAAAACGTATTTCAGCAAAGATAAATTCCACATGTATGTTCAAATAAAAACATGAATATATGATTCTGTCATTATTTGAATAGGTTATTATTGTATGCATGATAACAAGGAATGTTTACACTCATATTATTAATAATAATAATATACTAATAATAATAATAATAATAATAATAATAATAATAATAATAATAATAGACTTTATTGATATAGCTCCATTCTACCAACAAAAAATAAATGAAAACCATCCAAGGCAGAAAACTGCATAGCACTGCAGGCTGACCCTACATGTTATGGGCCCAGTTTAATATGCAACACAATTTTATATGTATATGTTGTTAGGGATGCGCCAATACCAGTATTGGGTTATCAGATCTGATACTCTGTGCTTGTACTCATAATGGTAATAATAAAACTACTCTGATACCACACCTGATAACACTTTATGGCAGTGTGACATTACGTTACCTGTCGTTAGTTGAGCATCAGAGCAACAGTAAAATAACACCCATAAACACATAAACAGCACTAACTATGAGCGTCTGTGTTATCTGTCTCTTTCAGACTTGAACAGAACGTTTCCAGACAACGTCCAGTTCCGCAAGACGTCCAACCCATGTCTGCAGAAAGCCCTGTACAACGTGCTGCTGGCTTATGGTCACCACAACCAAACTGTGGGCTACTGTCAGGTACTATCACTGAGGATCAGGAACATTACGGCTTACAAAGACTTTTAAGAACAGTGTCAGAATATTGGGTATTGGCAAGGACCTTGCAAAAATAATCTGGTATTTGTAATATTATATAGTATTTCATATTGTTTCATTATTGTTTATGGTGCTGTGTATCTTGCAGTAAAGAATTATGTCCATCATTAATGTGGGAAATGGGACAAAAACAAAACTGACCTACATTTACAGTGCAGTGTTTATTAGCCAAAATAACACAGACAGTGTAAATGTTTTTGTGTGGAAGATGATATCCAAAATCTGTTTGATCATTATTTTGTGTAGTGTTTCATTAAATAAGTGCAGTATAGCCCTATATTCATCATTAACATTTGAAAGGCAATTTTCATTCACCAGAGCATACGCAGCTTGATTTGCAATTCAAACAGGCAGCAGGGCCTGTGTGTTCATGGTTACTCTCTCTCCTCTGAAGTACAACTAGAACCTTCAGGTAGCCTGTTTACGTTTGAATGTTTTTTTCTTCTTCCTTTGTTTCCCTTTTGTTAATGTCTCATGCACAATTAGTGGTCTCGCTCCCAGATGCTTTTATTTAAAGAGCTGTAAAACCTGCTCACACAGGATTGCAAGATTAATGTGTAAACCTCAAGTGTGTCTCTCTTTTGTTTTCAGGGGATGAACTTCATCGCTGGGTATCTACTCATCATCACAAAAGATGAAGAAAAATCCTTCTGGCTGATGGATGCACTACTCGGTAGAATTTTACCAGGTGTGTGTGTGTGTATGTGTAATTTGCCATCATTGTGATCTCCTGACGAGTGTGTGTAGGTGTGTGTGCCTGGGCTAAGAATAATCCTGTAGGAGGTCACATGGTCTTTATCGGTCTTGAGACCTTGAGTATGTTTTCATTTGTATCGAGGTTGTAAACAAGGGAGTGTCAATATAAAGCAAAAACATGGCAGCACCTATGTCAGGAGGGATGTTTTGTGTTAGACACAACATAGACTTTAAAAGGACTGAGTTTAATTGTAATTGTTCTACTTTTAAACTTACTTACTTACTTATAACTCACTGTGTGTGTGTGTGTGTGTGTGTGTGTGTGTGTGTGTGTGTGTGTGTGTGTGTGTGTGTGTGTGTGTGTGTGTGTGTGTGTGTGTGGTTGCAGACTACTACAGTCCAGCCATGCTGGGACTGAAAACGGACCAGGAGGTGTTAGGGGAACTGGTGAAAGCTAAAGTCCCCAGAGTCTGGCAGACTATGGTGGATCACAATGTCATGTGGACCCTGGTGGTCTCCCGATGGTTCATCTGTCTCTACATCGACGTTTTACCAGTAGAGGTGAGTGTATCTGTGTGCGTTTTGATGAATTCTGGTCATTGGCATTCAGGACTGTATGCAGCACAGTATGAGACGGCAAAGTTAATTATAAAAATAAATGTTGTTTAAATGTGCTTCTTATCTCTCAAACAATAAAGGTCTGTCAAAGCACACCATTCATCATAGTAAAGAAACACTTTATACCAGCTCGCTTTTAGTGGATTCAGATCAAATAGTTAAAAAATTGCCTTATATTTCTCCTTTTCTTCCATTTTGTAATGGTCAACACACCACATACAACAGTCACTGTTGTTGCCAAGTCCCTCTGCTGGTCTCGGGTGGGGCATGAACTGAATGTTTGTTCTCCAAATACACATGGAGGTTCACGAGGAGGGCGGGACACTTGCAGATGTTCACGCTATTCCCTCAAGATTTCACCTACAGGCACTGCGGCCGACTAGTAGCAGTTCCTACTGCAGCAGAAAGGACATGACTCATCACTAATATCTTATCCCCAGATTGATTCAGGGTTAGGGCTTCAGCGTCCAGGTTTTTCCTCTGCTCCACTTGAGAACAACACCTGAGTTAAGGAAGTGCAACATAGGGAAAGGAAGAATATATGGGAAATAACATGTTAAACTGGGTTAAATATCAGTTGAATTATGATAATTACTTAATATATTGTTTCTCCTTACATGTTTTTTTGCTGCAGTAGAAATACAGTAAGTGATTAAAATATCAGCCTAACAACCCCATGATGACTAAGAGTACGTATGCATTTTCAGTAGTTTACATACACTATCTGCATTTGTACTGCAGTTTGCAATGACCCATTTTTAAATCTAAGAGTTAGAAGTAAACAAGAAACAGTAACTCCACTAATTACTGAAAGAATGATGATAAATGATTGTGGCCAATGGGGTGATTTTAAATATTTTATTTGGATATAAGAGCATGGAACAACTAGCAGACCATGAATAAAGTGAAAACAAAGTTCTTAAATTATATTCATTATGTAGAATGGAAAAAAAAGAACTTCAATTTGGGACAATGGTTAAGTCTGTGACAGTTGAAAGAATTCAGGACTGTTGCAGGACACTGAGGAAAAAAGTTGTGCAACACCACACGAGTTTGCTGGTGGGATTCACTCCTTTTTGTTGTTGTTTTTCTGCAGACAGTTCTAAGGATTTGGGACTGCCTGTTCTACGAGGGCTCTAAAATCCTGTTCCGTGTAGCTCTGACATTGATCCACCACAATGAGGCTCTGATCCAACAGGCCCACTCGCTGCCGGACGTCTGCCAAAACTTCAAGCAGATCACCCACGGACCATTTGTTGATGAATGCCACACTTTTATGCAGGTAAAAGAAAAGAGAGTGTATCTGTGTGTTGTTTCACTAGAGCAGAGACCAGGAAGTATAAAACAAACATGCTTTGTAATTTGCCTTCTTTAATCCTATAATCCTGATGTTACTTGCCTTTCCTAGAAAATCTTCACCGAACCAGGAAGCCTCTCCACGGCAACCTTGACTAAACTGCGGGCAACATGTCGATCTCGCATCATTGCAGAAGAATCGTAAACCAAACTCCTGTTGCTTAAACTCAATACACATTCCACTGGGATGAGCGCCCAACAGCTCGATTGCACCTTCTTCTTTTTTCCTGACTTAATGTCACAGTGACTACTACATGCTGTATAGTTTTGGTCTTAAACATATTCTGAGACAATCATACAGCCTCAGTGTAAATATATGGTCAAATGAGAACATTCTTAGCAATGTGCTGTATGAGCTGACGATTCCATTTGAAATTAACATGTAGTTTGTCTTGTTAAAATGTGGAATTATGCACTTTACTCCAGAACGTCAGAGACACTGTAGAGAAAGAAGCTTGGCACTAAATGGCCAGCTCAGATAAATGATGTGTTGCACACTGTAAATGCAGCCAAGAGGAACCTGCCTACTGTATTCTACATTGAATGACTGATGAAACTCCATGCTGGCACTGCCCACTGTGTAATTGATTGTGAATCATACTGATTTTATGCCATATTTATTTCAAACATTTCAAATCTGGTTCATGTATTTATTGATTTTGTTCCAAGTTTTGAGTAAAAGTCATAGTTCCTGACCTCAAACATGAATTCAATTGCATTATGATGACATGATCTCCACACAATTGAAAGGGCTGCTCTCACCAGAGAGGTATCCAGTTTGTTCTGTGTTTGGGTTTTGTGGCCCATTAAACTCTCATAGTACGGATATCAGATTTTGTTGCACTGGACAAAATTAACCTTGGCTTTGCTCCCAGCTCTGAGTATTCTGTGTAATGTACACCTGGTTGAACAGCTCAGAGTAAACAACCATGTTTATTTGACACAAAACAAGATTAAAAACAAATCATGAAGCTACTGTACATGCATGAGGAAACAAAATCAGTTCTGGACTTCAAAGGTTTTTATTAATTTTCAGTAAGATGCATAATAGAAAACGAGGTCAAACCATTTTCTATAAAAATAAATGGATCAAATCACTACAATTCATATTAACATTCCTTAAGGAGAGGGCGGGGGAAAGCCAGAATAGAAAATAAACCCATGCACCTGTTCACTTGTAATGTTAAATACATTTTAGTAATGCATAGTTGCACTCTGTATGGCTGGACCGCCACACACTGTTTATACAAAGCAGCAAATCCCTGTTTTTATCATCACAATTAGCAGACTGTGTTTAATTAGTTGGATTAAGCTATGCCTCATTGCACTATTGGGACAGGCTTTAATCTGTCTCCACTGTGGAGGAATATGATTGGAAAAGACACACATTCAGAGCTTTCCCTTTTCTTAAGAGTCACAGGAATAATCTTGTTTTTAAAAAGAGATTGTGAGCATGTGTAGACGCAACTTGAAATGTCTTGAAATGTCTGACCAACAGTGGACAAGCCATATGCCTACATTTCATTTGACTCTCCCTCTGCCTCTTTAATTGCATGGGATATTAAATAATAACATAGCTATAAAACTGCAATTCAAGCAAATTCAACCAATTCCTAAAACATAATAAAAACAATAATAAACAGCTGATGGTGAACTTGCTGCAGCAAATTCAAACTGCCTCCATCTTGGATTAGGCTTCATCAAGATGCACACCGTCTAAAGTTAGCAGGTCTTTGGCTTCTCATCATCATCATCATCATCATCTCACAGAGAAAGTGAAAGGAAAATAAAATATCCAGGAGGTCACATAGGATTAAGCAAAAACATGCGCTCACCATGGAGTAACAACTGCTTCCATTCACCATGCTTGTGTCCACACAGTCTCATTACTTGCTCACTCACACACTTGGGGTTCATCTCGCCTCCATTCAGTCTGTCATGAAGTGTCCATTCAGATAGTCTGGTATCCAGCATGGCTCCTCTTCCTGCCAATTAAATATGCAATGAGGACGATCAGCACCAGGCCGGCAAGAGCTGCTCCGACGATGATGGGGATAAGCATCTGGTCTTGGTCCATCTGACACTCCTCCGCTGGAGACGGGAAGAAAAGCAGGAAGAACAGAAAAGATGAGAAAGTTAAGTTATATTGCAGAATCTGGGATTTAGACACATAATCTACAGTATAAAAGCTAACACCTCTTTGGAGACTTAACCACTGACTCTCACATCTCTGATTTTATTTAAGCGATTCAAATAGTTGTGTTCTTGTGCTCATTAATGGCTGTTTTCTCAGTTGGGGAAACAACATAGCCAATAAATTATTTGTAAGTGGCAATAAATATCCTGTGCCAGAGCTGTTAAAATAGTGACAGAAAATTAAATAATTAAAATAAGTGTGGCTGAGCTTGATGAAGCTAAACAGAAATAACATTTAAAAGAACAGCTTGACATTAGGGGAAATGTGCTTATTCACTTTGTTGCCAAGAATTAGAGGAGAAACATAATATTCTCTCCCAAATATGAAGCTACAGCTAAACTTGGCATAAAGACTTGAAGCAGGGGAAAACCGCTAGCCTGTCTCTCTCCAAGGTCAACAAATGTGTCTACCAGCCCCTCTAAAGCGTACAAGTTGTGTTTTTATGGCGAGTTGCATCCTATAACTATTTCCCACAGACAAAAAGTGGTATCGGGTTCTTCTCATCTAACTCTCTCCAAGCAAGCACATTTCCAAAAATGTCAAACTATTTGTTTAAAATCAGCACATTTCTTCAACCAACATGAAAAATGTTCACTCTCTTAGTCTACCCCGCAGCTTCTTTGAAAAAGCAATTAAGTCTCATTATCTTTTTCATGCTGCAGAGTGCTACCTACACTTAGCACATCGTCACTATCAACATGAAGGTCAGAGGACAAAGATAATGAAAACCTGGGATAAAAAGGCAGCAGGGATGATGTACCTGTAGCAAACTGGCGGGTGGTGACTTCAAAGGGTTGGACCTGCAGTTTAAATGTGTTGAGAGAAAAGGTTGGCACCACAAACAGAGTCTGCTCAGCGTTGCACATGTAGGAGCGCCCCGCTGTACTCCGCAGGTAGTTGAGACTGGTGTTACTGGCTGAGAAGGGAGCTGTGGAGAGAGATGGGTCAGTCTTTGAATAAAGTAAATCAGAGGCAAGAAAAAAAAGTACGTTGCTTGTGACAAATGATACATACCAGTCATATCAGACCAATTAGCAAGCAGAGTTATCCCACTCAGGTGGTACTTGTGGCTCGTAGAGTTCTGTGGACGGGAGGAGAGGTGGTGATTAAATACTTGGATCCATACACAAACAAAAACCAAACTGACCGTGTGTGAGGTATCATGATCTTACCAGAGTGAAGGTGAAGTTGAGAGTGGTGGTTCGTTCCTGTGTCAAAACCAAGGTAGCACTGCTGGCTTCACATGATCCTGATGAACTTGTCAGATTGGGAGCCAAGTTTACTAATTCTTGGACAGTCTGGCAAAGTAGACAAATATACATTTTAAGATGTATTTATCACTTATTTCAATATGTGTTGTCCTTTCACGTAAATCTCTCTTCTCACCTTATTCTGAGATAGAGAGAAATGGGAGATGTTGAGTTGCAGTCCCATTTGGGCCAAGAGACACACAGTGCCATTGGTGTTGTTTACAGAGTACATGCCCCGCTCTGGTGTTCCAGGAGGGGTTGGTGCTGGAGCTACGGTTGTTGTAGTGCCGGCAGTGGTAGGTGGAGGAGTAGTACTGGCCTGATCTGCCACACATACGCTTTCTGTGACATGAGAAATGATAAAAAAAAATAAATAAAAAACAACCAAACAACCTAGAAAGTGACCAGCTCAGGAACAAAAACACAATCAGAGTTGTACCTGTTGGACTCAGGTCATTTCCTGGCATGTACGCTTCCAGCCTCATGTTAGAGAAAGTGACAGTTGTTCCACCAACTTCAAAAGGGCTGGGGCTCACACAGCGATACGTGGTGTTGATCGTCGCCCAGATCCCGACTGAAGACGACACCACAGTGACCACATCTAGGACAAAATCAAACGTACAACAAAGTAGTTATAAATCTATAATATACTACCTGTGGAATACGAGCCCATGTGTTCTGTATTGTATATTTACTAGCAAGTAGCAACTAATTACATTAATTTCTTTATTTCTTCTGAGATACAACACATCTTAACCTACTGAATCATACTGTAAAGTCAACACTGCACACTAAGACATTTAGATCGTGTGTGAATGTAATTGAACAAACAGTTTGTCGTGGCATTTGTTCTCACCAGAGCTGTTGGCCTCAGGGAAGACTGAAGAGTCGCTGAGATTGTACTGCAACGTCAGGTTGGCGACACTGTACAGACTTCCATTGGTTGAAAAGCTCAGCCCCAGCGCGTGGCCGGGTCCAAACACTGCCACCAGCCACGGTGAGCTGCCGGTTGTGCCACAGGAGCTGCTCCCTGTATCGACTGTGGCAGAATCGGGCAGAGAGACCTGCACATTTCTCTGAGGAGAGTCAAACGATATGACTGGCGTTCAATCAATTAAATCAATGTTAACACTTTCAGCGATCTACCAGGAATATTGTTATCACTGTACATACTGTGCTGTTGGAGGTGTTGTATGAGATGGAGAATGATGCAGAAAGCTGAGCCTTAATGCAGGTGGAGTTTCCCTCTTTCACTTCAAGAGTAACAGCCTGAATGCAACCTGTAGAGGAGAACATAACGAATAGGGAGGCACAGTAGTGAAATAATATGGAAAAACATTACAATAAAAGAAAATATCTTTTAAAACATCCCACAGTGATTATGAATAAATTTATATGTTGCAATTTAATAATGCACAATGTGACCTGATGATGAATTAGACTGCTAATACAGTTTGTAAATAAATACATTTGGATACTGTGTGCAACTTTACTACATTATTAATATTAGAATACACACTTATATATTAATTACTTTATGAATATTAAGTATTCCTTCCCTAGGTCTTCTGCTTTTTATTTGACTTTCCTGGTTAGATAAAGGTTACAAAATGAGTCCAAGCAATAACAGTCATGATTATTACGACATAACCAGTGTTACATGATGCCATGTCCTACATACACAATAAGGCAGTTCACACAAGCCACCAGCAGAGGTCTGCAGACAGCTAGAAGTGATAGACCAAGACCACAACCCCCCCTGACTCTGTGCTAACAGAATTGTAGAGCTCATTAGAGCTGCTGCTCCACTCCTGTAACAGGTGTACCTGAACATCTCCAGAGGGATGGAGTGAAGAGCAGTCCTTTTTAGCTACACTAAGAACTGCTCCTATGAACAGAATTACCAAGTATTTACCAACTCAGCCAATCTGGCAACTTACACACATGCATTATAGGCTATTAATACCTTTATGCCCTGGAAACCCTTACAAACTCGCCATTAGGTGTCTATGTGTGTGATAGTGGCTATAATTGGAGTACATATTGTTTGGAAACTACAGTGGCTATTCAGGACTTGTGTACTTATCAACCCTACAAGTCATATCCTTAAAAAGAAAAACCCCAAAAAACCCCAAAAACCCATTCTCACCCATTTTATTGTACAGTAACGCAATACAGGAGTCACCACTTGCTTCACACTTCCCAGAATGTCTACAAAGAAGTTGAGGAAGTTTGTGGCTCAAATGTGGCTGTTGTATGACCACGACTATTGCTCTTTGGATACCTTTCCGACAGCACACAGATTTTTGTACTATATATATTGGGTTTATGTTGGGTTTTATTTCTTTATACTGTTTGGTCAGACTGTGCCCAACTGTGTGGGCCCAATAAACTAAAAACTACTCTACAGCCTGCCAATATTGGCAGGTTTGAAAATTCACTTGCCACCAATATTTTACAGCTATGAAGGTTTTTAGGAATCAAAAAGATGCTCACATGTCAATCACACACTACCTCCCCTGCTGACTTGCCTGAAACTTGACCCTGATGTCACCTCGCTGTGCACCATGTAAACACACAGCAGACGGTTTACACAACACTGCAATCTGATCATGAGTTAAACGCGAGTGTGTGTACAAAGTACCAAGCAGCAGATAGCAGCGTCAAGACAGTGGCTATGGTGAGAATATCAAAACAGAAAGATATCCCTGTGTTGTGAGGAAATGCTGGTGCGGAAGGACTTAAACTCTCAGGTCACCAGGGGTCCTTCAGCAGAAGTCTGTGTGGAAAACTAAACCGTACACCAAGTTAGTGCTTACTTAAAAATAATGACCATAATCCAATAATATATTTTAGAATAACCATTAAGCTTACTGCAACTACTCCAGCTACAACTGTATTGGTCTGTTTTCCTGTGTCAGCAGCTGTGTATGTGTGTGTGTGTGTGTGTTTGTTCAGGGTGATTAAACTGGTCATAAACCAACACTGTCAGTAGGCCCCTAATGGGCTGTGTGTAACACAAAGCCATCATAGCGGTCATGTGAATCTCTCAAATGACACAACAATGAGGCCAATCTGCTGGTCCACAACATTAACAAAAACCTGGACATTACATTAGAATAGAAAAGAACATTATAGAATAAAGTCCAGGGACTTCTCAGCCAAGTCTGGTCTGTTTGGACACAACTACCTGAGGACAGATGACCTTTGGATAATAAAAGGCTGTGGGTTCAACAGCACTGATCCACTGTGGGGTCAAACTTGTAGCAGATATGTCTTGTTTACACCAGGAGGTCCCTTGTTGTATTCACAAAGTGGGGCCATGAATTAATATATAATTAATGTCTACATCCCGCACAGGTGGCTCAAGCTGTGACGACTCTGAACCTCACCTAACAATACCATAACCTATTACCTGTAACATGTAACGCTGGCTAGCTATAAATTACATAAGCTGATACCGAAGTACAAACATATTACGATTATTTTCAATGTCAATTAACCTGCTGCGTATTTTCTCTATTAATAAATTAATACAGTGGTCTATGAAGAGGTCAGACAAAGTGTCCAAGCAAAAAAAATAAAATAAAAATAAAAGCTTTCTTCGACCAAAACATTAAAACGTGCTAACATATTCCGAGTAAGCTAACGTTAACGACACACTACACCTGACCAACGGTCGATTTCGTGACGTCGTTCGGTCAAGCGGTAGCGGCGTGACGACGAAGAGTCGCTTTAAAACCCGCAAAAAACACTCACCTAACACCGCAAACCAGGCAATGATGAGCGCAGCCAGAGCGGGAGAGAGTTTCATCTTTCAGGCCAGGTCCCACCGGAGCGCAGATATACTTTTAATGTCTTTTAATGTGTTAGGAGAGGCGGTGTTGTTGTGTCGCCGCTGCGGGCGCAGGTGGGTCCGACACGGCGCACTGCAACACTGCACTTGACTTAACGGACTGTTAGCTCAATCCGAGGCGTCGCTGTTGTTCTTCCTGTTGTTGTTTACGTTTCTCTGCTGTCCGACGATAGAGAAAAGGGTTATTTGGTATTTCCCAAAGCACGTCCTGCTGGTAAAAATCCCGTGTACGCGGTGAGATGTCGCTCGCAGCCTCACTGACGGAATAAGCCCTGTCTCGTCATGTGAACTGGTAGCATTTAGAGCGACCCAGTCACGTGAGACCGCCCCCTTTCTTTCTTTCACGAGGACTGAGCTCTATTCAAGGCCACTGGAAAGGAAATAACTTCTGTAGTGAAGTGAGAGACAACGCACTTTTGTTCCGTGTAACTGCATTAGAAAATGTTTGTTCATAAATATGACTTATTTCAGACTTACACAGCTGTATATAATGTAAAGTAGGTGATACTGGCAGGGTGTAAAGAGACACCCAATGAGAAAAATAGTGCAGTTCTAGGAATACTATTACAATGAAATGACTTCATTTTCGAGGAACTCACACCAGTGACATAACATTACTTCAAAGTTAATTAATTAAAATAAATGATTATTGAATGAGCAGGGAGTGGTGAAAACACCAAATGCATGAATACATCTCTTTTAGTTGCGTTGCTTTCTCTTCCTGACACTTTTCACTCACTCATATTAAATATACTTCTACATTAATATATTTCTAAATACAGTAAAATACCAGTGAAATAGTGACCACGAAGGGGTGAATTTAGGGATGCACACTTGAACACAACTTTCCTGAAATGATTTAAATACATAGCACAGAAGATCAATTGTATGACATATGAAATGTCTGAAAGGAAGCAAAGCATATGATTTGTTGTATGCAAGGTAGTACATTCACACATTCACACACACACCCTGTGTCTGCTGTGCAGACTGCAATGTGTTTGTGTTGCGGGTAGTCAGCTGACACCTTCATCAATTCACGAGGGTGTGCAAAAACCTCAAAGGAACGCAGAGGCAGCTTTAAAGCTACTGTCCAAGACTTATCAGGACCCTGCTACATTCCCCTGCATAGCTTTTTAACAAAAGACATGCCATTTTCTTGTGTTAAAATGAAACTATACAACTAGCTCTTGTTGACATATTTAAGATCTATTTCTTAATCATGCAACAGCTGGACATTCCCTGCTGTGATAGTAAAAGCATGAAGAACAACCCTTTCATTTTCAGTTCCATCTTCCAGTAACTTGAGATATTAAAATCCCAAATTAATCATTTCTATCAAAGTGATGACTATTCTTTATTGAAAATAGCAGAGTGGCTTTAAATACCTCAAAATCAAGTGTAAGGAAAGAAAACAGACAATACACTTCCTTTTTGTATCATTTGGGGCAGAGTGAGACAAAATGGAAAAGGACAACAGTGTTGTGATATGACAGACTTATGGTCTAAGTAATGTCCATGTTTTGAACTGCACACCACACGGCTGCTCACAAGACAGAAATGCTCCTCACAAATAAAGGCTGATTGAAAGAAACATTTGATGACATCAGATTATGCTGAAGGAGCTGCACGCTGTCAGCATGAAGAACTACGTTGCAAGACAGAGACAGGGTGGCCGTGTAAGAAAAAAAAAACAACTACAACAGCTGGTTATCTACAAATCATTGACTGAATCATTAAATATCCATTTATTCAGGTTCACTTTTCTCACTCTTACATAGAATACAATCTGATCTACAAAAACGTCAGCACATGACATTGGACATTTGGACATTTTGGTCAAAACATATAAGGTATCCAAAGAAATACCCAAGTGGCTTGCCTGCATGTCATTAGCTTCTGTGTTACAAGCAATGAACCCTCCCTCTGCCCCAAACACATCTGACCCAACCCCTCTGGCTCACTTCATTCTTCTCAAGTCTCTTCTTGTCCTCACCAGCCGTTTCTCTGCCAAATCAAGCAACCAACCAATCTGGTTAACACTCAGCAGTTTGTGCAGCCATTCAAAAGGAGAACGCCTCGAACAAAAAATGAAATAAAACAAAGGAAAAAAAAGAAATCTTAAAACTCAAGACAAACCAACTATAGTAGAAAATAAGTGATTTTTAGAACGATGTGATGGAGGAAAAAAAATCCCACTCCAGAGGAGAAAAAAAAACCAGAGGAAAGTGCTAGTTATTTTCAGTTGAGTTTTGCATTAGCAGATTTAAGTCACATAAACCAACCATCAACAACCTAGGCCACTCCTCCAGCCCTATCCCACTAAAGATAACGCAGAGTGGGAACAGTTCAGCCAAGTCTCTCTCGTTTCTCTGGAGCGCTGTGTGATCTGGACGCTACGTCCAGGATTGTGGATGGAGGGAAAGATGGGCACCAGAGGTGAGTCGGGTGGCTGAAGGGCTGCAATGCTGTTTTTGGGGAGCCAGCTGTACGCTTGCTGTGAGAAAAGCATGGCAGCTACAGTGGTTCCCCTTCAGGCAACATAGTGGTACTGGTTAGGAGTCTCCTTGTCACGTTCCATGTAGTCTCTGTCTATGAGCGACTCGATCCGCTTCTTTAGATCGCCCGGCTGTGTAGAGGAAAGAAAGTCAGATGCTGATAAGCTTTGCCTGTGTGCGTATGTGCTGGAAGAAATCTAAATGATGAGAATGAGAAGCTTAAGATACGTCACCTTGACAGGGAACTTCAGCTGGTTGTAGAGCTCTGAGACCAACAGGTTGTGACTGAGGGTCTTCCTCATCTTCATGATACGCACCACAGCTGCATCAATCTGATACTGCCTGTCTTGGAACACACGCTCTGTGGTGCTTACCTGCTCTTCTACCTGTAAAGAAAACATGTTTAAAAATGGTTAGGAACCATCCCGTTGCACAGAGGACCACTGAGGAGGGGTAAAGAAAGAAATGTGCCAGCATGTTTACCGTTTCCTTCATTTGGATCTGGTTGATCTTGATGCGGAACAGCTTGTGTTTAAAATCATTGTTGAAATTGAAACGGTCTCCATCCTCCACATCTTTCCCTCGAGGGTTCTTGTTGAGGACGCGTGCTTTTCCGCAGGCCAGGGACTGCAGTGTCCGCTTGAGCTCTCCCTCCTCTGCGCAGGACAAGAGAGAATGATAACGTGATACAGCATTCCATCTTTAACAATAGAATAGTTGTACTACATATTTAAAGATGTTTAACCTATGCCAGTGGCAGTGCGAATCTCCTCGATGCTGAATTCCTCTCCCTCATTAAACATCAGTAGCACCAGCGTCTGGAACAGAGAGACCTGCAGCTCCTTCTTACCCTACAGGATAAGAAAGTCATTGTGAGCGCTGATCAGACAATTTGTCCCTCTTCTCTAAGCCCTGTTGGGATGTACAATGGCCTTACCTCTTTAAACTCTGCCTTTCAGTACAGCGTGGCCCAGTGTGGGCTGCCACTGCAGCTTCCTCCCACTGTGCTTCCCCAGGTAGAACAGCTTGAACACCTCCTGGAGTTTTACCATCTATCAAAGCAAAAATAACTGAAATTTGTACCAAGATTGTCCTGAACACAGTCGGCTAAGGATCAGTTTATGACTCTGCCGAGTTTAGAGAACAGAATAAATACTGTTTAAATAAATAGTCTCATGCTCAATTTCTACTTAATCCACAAAAATAAATGTTCAGATTTAGCATTACCCAGCTTTATGTGCATAATCTGTTTCCAGGACTCCCAGGACAGCACCCAAACATATAAATGCTTACCTCCGGGGGCAAGTGGACCTCCATGGGTATGTATGAAGGCCAGTAGCCCATAGTGAGGATGTTGACAGTGAGTTCTATGTTGCTTGGCTCACTCTGGTTCTGTATATACTGAGTAGAAATATCAATACGTTTACAATTACGTATGAAAAATGCATTAAATGACACAGTACAGTGGAATGCATAGACATACTGTAAACATGGCATCAGTATGCTTTTATTTGTGTTTCTGTGCACAGAGACCGCAAGTACCTGTTTGAACTGGATCATTATGTCTTTGGACAGTTCCATGTCCTTGAACATCCCCTCTAGCTTGCTGGTAAATGCTGCTCCGCATTCTGGAAGGAAGTCAAAACCACATCATATCGTGACTGACTTGTTCTCACATATCACACCACCCCATATGCACCGATGACTCATTATGTCAGATAAAGGTTTTACTTTAGTGCTTCATCTACTGCGTAATACTGGGTAGATGCAAAGACCTTCTCTATACTGTGCTGTGAAAGGGAATATCAAGTCTTCAAATGGAGAATTTTTAAGTGTTTTTTCACTGGTAACATTTTAGGCAAAATCTCATCAAGAACAAAATGTGGTTATACTGTACAGGCAGGCCAAGTCAATACAATTTTATACCACTGAAAAGCCTATAAATTGCTGGTAAGTCTTTCTATGATATTTTCTAAAATTCTCAAAAGCATATATACGTATGTTGTGTAGTGGCACTGGGCAAGACACTTAAACCCAAATCAGTGTGCGAATGATAAGCAAATTGTAAGGTTTGGTTAAAAGTGCTCATAATGTAAGACATTAGACTCACCATGTTTCAGCTTCGAGAGCATGGACTTCTCAGCATCAACAGAAGCACTCTTGCCAACCAAGAGACGCTTGGCCAAGTCCTTCTTATAAAAAGCTTCAAACACATCTTTTCCTGGAGGGAGTAAGCAGACATCAAAAAGGCCTCAGCAGAGTTTAACAAGCTTCATGGTAGTTAGTAAGACTATCTGAAATCATCTAGCATTAAGCATCAATCAGAAGTGTAACTGACCGTGTATGAAACGAAAGATTATCATTATCTTGTCCAGGATTCTCTCCAGCTCCTCCTCTGTGGCCTCCTTGTTCCCTGCTCTTAACTTTGAATCGACATATTTAGCTGGATGGGAAGCAAAAACCAAGACAGCTGTTATCACATGCTGGAACTAATACAAAAACAATCAAATGTGCTATGTAAAATTATACAGTACAAATAGTGTGTGTGTTGTGTGTGTGTGTGTGTGTGTGTGTGTGTGTGTGTGTGTGTGTATATACATGACATTTACAACTATCATGGCATGTAATCTATGGACCCACCAATAAGTTCAGCAGGTTTGTTGGGCCTCTTGTTGATAAAGGTCTCAAAGGCCTCCTTCATGGCGTTGATGAATCCCTCATTCCGTGTAAAGCAGCTCTGTGCGACATTGTCCATCTTGTCCTTGAAGTCGAGCAGGTCTTGAACCATGTCCTTGTCTTTCTC